TTCATCTTTGGTTTTTAGTAATTTGACTATATCCTGGTGTTCTTATTTTTAAATTATCCTAGTGGAGCTTCTCTAAGCATCTTTATTGTAATTTATTGTCTTTCATTAATTTTTGAAATTCCTCAACCATTATCTCTTCAGTTCTTCTGTTTTCTCTCTTCTGGAATTCCAACTGCATGATATGTTAGACTAATATTATCCCACAGCTTTTGAATTGTCGTTTTATTCATTCATTTTTTTTTCTCTCTGTATTTCACTTTGGATAATTTCCAATGACTTATAAAGATCAGATTCTTTCCTCAGCTGTGCCAAGGCTATTGATGAGCCGACCAAAGCCATTGTTCATTGCTGTTGGCATGTTTCTTTTTCTAGCATTTCCATCACAGCTGAAATCCCCCAATTGTTCATGTAGGGTTCCCACCTTTTCCACTAAATCCTTTAACACATTAATCATAGTTATTTTAAAGTTTCTTCTCACAGTCCCAATATCTGGGTCATCTCTGAGTTTCGCTATTATTTGTTTCATCTTTTGACAGTGGATTGCTTTCTGTTACCTTTTTTCTTAGTCTTACAATTTTGGACGGAATGCCACACATCTTATGGAAAATAATAGACAGATACATAATATTTACACCTGGCCATTAGTGTGGGGAACTGAGTAAATCTAGTCAGTCAAAATGGGTTTGGATTTTGTTACTTTTACCTTTGGCATCCAGTCTACATGTTCCTACAGGGTTGGCTGCTATTACCTTGTACTTAAGAGTTGGACCTGGGTGTCAAGAGTTTTCTGGCTCCATTCTCAGCTCTCAGCAAGTCCTGCTTTCTTGTGTTGTTCCACATTCTTGTGCCTCTCAAAGTGGTAAACTGCTGTTGCTCATTATTTGATATTGCATTGATCATGGGTGGAGGTAATTCTTGATATTGCATTGATCATGGGTGGAGGTAGTTCTTGGTTCTCCATTTCTATTCTCAGACTTAGATAGGGCCTGTGCACCTGGGCCCTAGGGTGGCGCCTTCTCAGAATTTCTATCTCCAGACCCACAGAGGCTAAACATGGCTATTGTTTAGCCTCACAGCTATTGAACAGGAGAGATGTTCCTGTACTTTTCCTAGTAATACCAACTCTCTGCTTGATATTGGTGCAGGATCCTGGGCTCAAGAGGTTTTCTGCCTCTCCCTTGGGGCAAAAGGGTTTTACATTTACCCCTTACCCAGAGGCAATGGATCTTTGCGTGGGCCCTGGAGATAGTGGCTAATGGCTTTTACTCATACAAGAGAAAGATCTGAGGAAGTGGATAGTTTTAATCTGTCACCCAGTGTCATTTTATGAACCACAACCTGTATGCCTGTGTCACTGAGGGATCTCTTCTCACCAGGCAACTACCTAAATCGTTCTCATTAGCATCCAGTGGAGGCTTGTGGAAAGGAACCCCCAAATGAATGTGAACTACTGTCATGTCATAGCTCCCACTTATTCTAAGCTATTTAGTTCACACTTGGCCTATAAAGAATTCTTTAACAACGTAGCTGATTTATGTTAGGAGACAATTATTCCTGGGTCTCTCATGTTCCTGAATGATTTGTAATAGAGGCACTGCCTGCCTTTGTTCTGGACTATCTTTTCGGCCTGGAAAAAGAGACACCATCTCTTTCTAAAAGAAAGCCAGGTTTGATTACTCTCCACTAGAATAAATGTCTCCCTCCAGAGCAAAAGGAAGGCATTCCTAATACCTATTATAAAATAATTAGGTTCCCTGATCTCAGAGTTCTTTCCCTGGTATGCAACCCACCGCATTTATAGGTGTCACCTGGTCTTTTTCTCGCTGCATTGTTGGGGACTGGGGATCAGGAAACCAGCACAAATACTGACTCTGAGGAATGCTATATTCCTTTGTCTCTGGTTCAGGAAATTGTGGCAAGCCAACATAACTTGCAGGTAGGGTAAAATCTTAAACTCGTTCAAGTTCTTGATAATTTCTTCTTACTTGCTTTAGAGGCAGCCTCTTATTCTTTGCCAAATGTGAAACAGTTCATATATCCTGTCTCTTCTTGAAAGGGCTTGTCACTATGGAATTGTTTCTTTGGTAGCCTTCTTTGATGGGTGTAAGTTATGATTTCTTTTCTTGTCAAGATGAGTAACATTCTCTTGCAGCTTTCTACATATTAAGTGGAAGCACAGATCCCAAGGTATACCTATTTGACTCCTTTCTATTATCAAAAATAGGCACTTACTGATCTGCAAACGCTTACTGTTCAGCATATATACACTTAGTTTTTGAACAAATCATAAATATGAGTAATGAACTCTAGGAATTTTGTAAAAACAGCTCACAGAGTATTTCATCACAAAGGCTGAAAGCAATGGACTAAGAATATTTATCGTCCTGCATAGGCGAGGCAGGAGAGGGTAAAAAATCTGATTAATGAGAGATAAATATTACACAAAATGTACATATGCACTGGCCAACAAGTCTTAACAAGGATCAGGGGACATATGGGAAAACTACAACCACATGCGGGTAGAGAAAGGGCTTTTGAAGCTCTCAAAAATGGACAGGGGGATGTGACAAAAAGACCTGAAAAGGATACAAAGGACAGAAGGACAGCAAATGATGTGAAAACAACCTCCTCATGGTCACACTTTTTCCTCCCATCCACATTCTCTCACTTTTTCTGGTAAACATAATCTAGATTTCTTTTATGAGGTTGACCTCTTCTACACTGTGGAAGTCTGGTTAGGGCTACCAGTTAAAGTGCTTACTCTTCCACTAACCAACTTTCCCAGGACTCTCTGAATCACAAAAGATAGAAAAACATTTGGAACTAATTCATCACTGAGCTGGTGGTTCCTGCTACATAAAACCAGCATCCTTGGTTCCTCTTTTCAAAGTGTGGCTTAATTTTTCTTCTAACTCTGTGAATTATCCAATACAGTTGGCCCTCCATACCCACAGATTTTGCATCCACAGATTCAACCAACCATGGATCAAAACAAACCCCAGAAAATTTCAAAAAGCAAAACTTGAATTTACCACATGCCAAGAACTAAGCTGAATCCACAAGAATAAAGTGATATGTAAGTACACCCTGATGTAGCCTATATACAAATATATGTTATATGCAAATACTATGCCATTTTATATAAGAGACTTGAGCATCCTCAGACTTTGGTATCTGTAGAGAGGGAGGGGTCCTGAAACCAATCCCCCTCAGATACCAAGGGACAACTGTATTCCCATTTTGCTTAAGTTAACCAGGGTTGAATTTGTGTTGCTTGCAAGCGAAGAAACCCAACTGATACAGGGTAACTGCTTCAATAGAGGGCATGACCAAAGCCAAAGGAAGCTTTTAAAGGTAACCTGAAATCCAGTTACTTTTTTTCAAATTGCTAAAAGAATATATATTAACAACTGTCAAAACTGTTGGCATGGTACAGTGACTAATCAACTTAATGTTTCTATATGCTTATAGATATTAGCATTTTCTAATGGTTAGGCCGACAATGTTTTATTACTACAGACTATATTTAGAGTTCACTCTCATATCTCCCATTATTAGAAATAAAAACAAATAAGAATGAACTGAAATAATACATATTACATGTAAGTTATAGAAGAAAAACTGAAGAAGGGTAGCCAAGAGTAGCAAATGACCTATGTTACAAATTTACTTAAATTTAGCTGTTTATTTTTTAAATTCATTATGAAAGTCATTTATACTAGGCAAACCATATATAGAGAAAAATTTTAAGACCAAGATATACCAAGTAGATATTACAAAGAGAAATACAGTGGAGCACCAAGTAGGATGTTCTCAACAAATGTCTCAAAAAATACAGTACAAACAGACCAACCTGACAAGTTCTGCTGGAATGAAAAATTAATTTTTGGCTAATCTCTCCCTCTCATTACATAGATGAGGCCCAATGTCCCAAGGAGACCAGATGATCTGTCCAAAGCTTACAAGGGTAGATTTCACATATGGTTCTCTTTTTTGTGAGAATGGAAGAATGTTTAACTCCTGTTCAGATTGAAAATTAACAATATACCTTATAGAAATAAGAGTTTTTCTAAGATTCTCATATACATACTTTTTATATATGAGAACTATCATTCTATTATATACTTCTCTATATACAGAATATGTAACATAAATAACACAATATATATTTTAATATATAGTGATCTATATAATATATATTACATATATATTTCACTGAGGCCTATTTAGGGTTATTTCATTACTTTTTAAAACTGTTATAAAAATAATTTATAAGAAAAGATAAGGCTGTGTCCAGATAATAATCAGAATAAGTCTACCTAATATTTACCTTTAATATCCAAGATTTTTTCAAACACAGCAACTGAGAAGAACGAGATAATTCAGGGAGCCCGTTCTACCATGGGTTAGTTTAGCATACTGACTGGGTTACTCAACCTTGGCGCTATTAACATTTGGGCAGGATAATTCTTTGTTGTGCAAGATTATCCAATGTATAGCAGGGTGTTTAAGCAGCATTCCTAGCCTCTAGCCACTAGATGCCAGTAGCACTCCTAATCGAAAATGTTCCTTGACATTGCCAAAGGTCCCCTGGGGGGCAAAACTGCTCCATGGTTAAGAAATACTGGTCTTATCATGACTACAACAAAACAAATACAACTATCATCTGTATGATTTCATTATGGAGTCAACTGTGGTTAGAGTTCAAATTATACTGGATTAGAAATAAGTTAATTATACCAGTTTTTGTCTACCAGTGAGCTGTCCAATAACAGTAGTAGTTATGAGCACGTGAAATGTGGCTACTCCAAAGTGAGATATGCAATAAGGGTACAATATGCACTGGGTTTTGAAGATTTGATATTTAAAAAATGCAAAATACCTCATTTTTTTGTTAACTGAACTATTTTGGGTACACTTAGTGAAATACATTAATTTCACCAGATTGTTTTTACCTTCTGTAATGTGGCTACTAGAATATTCTAAATTACACATATGGCTCACATTATATTTTTATTGAATAGCACTGGTCTAGAAACTTGAAATGATTTAGTATTATTTTTTAATGAAATAAATTCTTAAGTCTATCAAATAAGCCAAAAAGACTTTGGAAAGCTTTCTACAGCCCTATGAAAATGGCTCACTTTTAACCATCATAACTCTTTATTATCATGTTTAAATGATTTTTCTGCTTTAAATACATTACTTCTATTCCAGCGCTTTATTCTCAATGTCTCAATCGGTTCTTTTCTGATTGCTGATTTATCTTCATGTTGTTCTTTATCATTCTCCTGAACATCAGTTTCTTTCATACACTCAGGACTTTTCCTAGTGGGATGGTGAGATGATGCTGCAGCATCCATCATACGTAGAAAATTGTAAGCAGGAAGAGGAGGTTTCCATTCCTGGGCAGGTAAAATTGCTAGAAAAAAGACACATACAATCAAAAGTTAAAGATGAACAGATTAAAAAAATCATACATAAGAAACTTGATACATTTCTCATTACTAGCTATTTTCATTTTTTATATTATATTTGCAATCTATTATATTCTAAATAAAGGCTAGTATTAATAGGAAAATGAAAGGTCTATAATCTCCCTGTCAGTTAACTCTTGTTGAGGTTTTAAAAAACAGCAGAGCAATATGTTTATGAGATTACCACACACAGATACAAGTTAAAATGAAAAAGTCTTCTGCTTCCCTCCCTACCCTTGTCTTTATCCCAAAGAACTGGAACTGTTTCTTATGAATCATTCCAAAAGAAGTTTTTGGCACATACATATTTCTTATTTTATTATTTAGACAAGTATTTACTTACATTTTAACAAGGATTTTCTGTTTTTGAAGCTTTTGACTGACATTCTTTGTACACGCTTTATGAAAACGAGTTCATTTTATAAAAATAATTATAGAGAGGAATACTTAAAAATTACTATGGAATCAACTGTACTATAAACAGATAGGCACTGAACAATTTCTTAGATGGGCTTCATGGTAGTGACTCTAAGCATCATTTAAAAACATTGGTCATTAGAAGAGGAAAACTGATTTAAGCTTGAAAACATAATAATATATAATAACATGAGATAAATTAGCTAACTTTTCTCCATTTAGTAAACAGATTTTACAAAATAATTTAAAATTTTAATTGTCCATTTAAAATACTATTTTGAGAAATAAATATAAGGAAATTTGCAAAGTAAACCTTTAAAAAATAAATTCCAGTGAAAGATGTTACATGAAAAAAAATGAACTTACATGAAAATGAACTTATATGGAAAAAGCTCATAAAATACAAACTTAAGCATCTCTCATAAATCATATAAATATCTTTAAAAGCCTAGGAAATTCATATAAATTCTGATTTCCTAGAGTAAATTAAAATTCAAACAAAAATCTGTATAAACACATATGCAGTATATCTATACTCACTGATACATATATTTCTTCACTTGGACTCAATTATATAAAATTCTAGTACCTGGAACATCAGCGGGGTATTAACTTTAGGCTACCACTGTACCTGATGTTTTAAATTACTATTACCCAGGTTAGCAGATTCAAAAGTGATAAGGAGATAAAATATTTTCTTGAATATAATGAATGGGCAGGAGGTAAGAATAACTAGTTTGCAATATACAGATAAAGTACCTTTATTAATTTAAAGTATTTTAAAGAAAAGTTTAATTTAAACCATAGGACATATATAGCAGTATTTTTTAAAGTAGACACTATAGCCTACTGTTCTGAGATGATGACAAAATACCTAAAACTGGACATAAATTAGTAATGATAATAATAGCTAACATTTATTGAGCCTTTACTATATACAAGGCATTATTCATTTAATCCTTAAAAACCTCATTTAGGTAAGTACAATTATTATCCCAATTTTAAAAATGAGAAAACCAAGGCCTAAAGAGGTCTTGACCAAAATTAAGTGTAATTCTCAACTAAAAATAGCCAGTGGTCACAACTTTACAGATATTAAGACATGCAGCAATCAAGGTGAGGCAGACTGCTGTGGCACCATGCACAGATTAGGGCTATTCCAAGAGTAGTTGCAAGACCCTCGTCTCATATTCATCTCCCAAAGAGTGGTGAGAGTAGGTCCTGTTCGCACAGAAAACAGGACCCAATGCAGACAAGTGCTGCTTGGTCTGCTTTTCCCCTGGTGCAGAGGCTGCATGAATTACATTAAGACTAGGAGCAGGGAAACCAAGAAATAATGAAAACCCCTCAAGGTGAGTTGGCAATGGCATTCATGAACAAAACTGCAATGGAAGATATACCAGTTTCTCAGGAAACTCAGAACAATAATTCTAATTTTTTCCTCTTGGCAATGGTTTGAGTTGAGGAATCAAAGGCTCTCAAGATGCTCCTTGTAGGAAAGGATCTTTACATGAATCGTGATAATGCTTTAGATTTTACACTTTACAAAGTACTTCTGTATACAAAATTTGATTTTTTAAAATAAATATGTGACGTTAGAATAGGAACTAGTAATCTCATTTTACAGTTGTAGAGGCGGAAACAAAGAAAGACATGTCTAGGAGCCACACAGTAATCAAGGAGGCTCAGGTTTGTGTGTCTTTGAATATTACTAACTTTTTAAAAGTATTTGTTTGAGAGGTACTCTGGCCCTAGCTTCATATAATCCTATTTGACTTATTCAGTCCATGGGGCCTGAATAACAGCAGCTGCAAAATGACAACACTCATTTGACTCTATAAAATAGCAATGCAGATAGAGAAGTGATCAGACTATCTTTAGAGGTCAAGAGCTACAACTGAAAGACCCCTATACTGGGTGGCTAGAATGAAGAAGTCCGAGATAAGAAATAACCACAGAAAGGCCTCTTTCCAGATTATGAGTTAAAAATTAGCTCAGAAAATTGAGACTTAAAAATATCATCTACAACTACCCAAAAGAGCCAAAATAATCATGGAAATAAAGAATAAACTTGGAGGACTCAAATATCACAATTTAAAATCTACAAAGCTGAAGTACTGAAAACACTGTGGTACTGGCATAAGGCACCTGTGTATTGAAAGAATTAAAACATATACGTAAAATAATGCTACATTATTATAATAGCTAAAAGATGGAGATAATCTAAATGCCCATCAACTAATGAATAGAGAAACAAAATGTGGTATATCCATACAAATGAGTATTAGTCATCCACAAAAATGAACTACTGACATAGATGATCCTTGAAAACCTATGCTGTGATTCTATTTGCATGAAATGTCCACATTAGGCAAATCCATAAAGACAAAGTAAACTAGTGGTTGCTAAGGGTTGAGAGTAGGGGATAATGGGGATTGACTGCTAATGGGTATGAGATTTCTTTTTGGAATGATGAAAATATGAATTTAATAGTAGTAATGGTTAAACAGCCTTGCGAATATTCTAAAAACCACTGAATTATATACTTTGAAAGGGTGAATTTTAAGGCATGTGAATTATATTTCAATATAAAAATGCTATCTATAGGCTAAACATAATGTAGTTAAACTGCCTAACTTAATAGAAATGAAACAGACTACCTGGGAAGAAGAGGTGAGCTACAATGACTGTCACTTAAAATAAATTAAAGTATTTGGTTAAATATATACAAATACACACTACGCATGTTGGCTAAGAAACAGTATAACACTGGAGTTTGTAAACCAGAACTGTGTGTGTAAACTTATACATATATATTCACATATATAGATAACACCCCTTATTTCAGGATTCTATCATGGGACAGTGTCAAAATTTATAATATAGTTTATCTGGTATCCAATAACAAACTCTTTGGATAGTTCCTTAGAAGACTTGTCATTACATCAAATTTTATACTATTTCCTCAATATGCTAAAGATCTACATTATTACACATTACCTTATTTATAAATTATAGCAACAGGCCTGTTGTTGCCTGTTGTATAGAAATTAACATATGCATGTATACCACAAGTATAGATTCACATATGTTTTAGAAAAATGGAAGTTATGGCATGTGATAAGCCAGCATCATAAATTCTATGCATCAAGATCTATTTTTTGGTGGTTCAAAATTCTGGCTCTGGAATAAAAGACATCCAGGTTGGAATCCAAGTTTCTTTATTTACTGGTTAATTATATGACTTTTAACTAGTTACTTAACTCTTCTTTAGGTAACCATACTTCATATGACTCTTGTGAAAATGAAATGAGATAATGCATCTTGAATCACTTAGCATCGTACTAGATACCTAGTAAGCATTCTATAAGTGTTAGCTATTTTTAAGTTTAATACAATGGTACTTATTTTCTATGGGTAATAATACCTACCACATAGGAGATTGTCCTATAGACGATGTTATCAACATATGAACATTTAGGATACTTAAAAATATTACAATTCAATTCATTAGCTATATTTCAAGTCTAAAAATCTATGAAACAAAATACAGAACTGTGTGTATTAACAAAACTTACCAATATGACTTTCTAGTCCCGCTTCTAACTTCTTAAGCCACAATAAAAGGTTTTGTTCAGTTATAGCCTGGTCTGAAGGAAACGCAAATACTTGACCACCTGAATGCAGATTCACCACAACAAGAAGAGGAAGGGGAGGCAGAACATCAAAATATGCCTGCAAAATTCTTCTCCCCACAGGAGTATTCTTCCTACAAAAGGCAGCAATTGAACATGTTAATTGATATTTCTTTCTGTAACAAAATAATGAAAGCAATAGTTTATAGAACACTAACCTTTAAATATAGTATTATGCTAGTAAGTTTATTTTATGAAAAAATGTCCTAAAAAACCATGAGGTCTATATTAAAAAGTTTCTTTTAACATAAGGCACAGTGTTTCTCCAAGGAGAAAAAAAGGCAACCAGAGTTTTAATGAAAAACAGGCTTGAAAATTAATATAATCAACAGGTTCTTTCCAAAGTTTAGCCAAGTACTTGATCACATGTTAGTTAACAACTTAAATGGTTGCAAACTATAAAATAACAAGATACTTATAATACTTCTTTTACAAATAAAATCATTTTTTTTGAAACAAAGAATTTCAAACTAAAAATACTTTTAAAATCATGTTCATACAAGGAAACCATAAGTTTAAGAACCTAGCTTTCCTAATACAGCACATTCCACATTATGAAAAATACTATTTTACTCTGAGATACCTACAAGGATAATTACCTGAAAAAATTCTTTCTCAAGCAGTAGGTTAAACTGTTAGTGAACTATTCACAGCAAAAATGTACACTGCCCCATTCTTGTAATTTTTCAAATGAGTTAAAAATAAAATGTCTTTCATCTGATGAATCTGAAGAATGGATAGTGTGTATATAAGCAAACTATGTTCACAGACATTAAATGTAACACAAGCCATATATCTAGAAAATTTATCCAGAAATACTGTTGGTGAATGCACTGAAAACTTTCTGTAACATTTTAGGCTACATTTCAAAAATACAGAGGTATAAAAAAATGAGGAAAAATGACAAAATATCACAATGTTTATTTTTCTGTATTTGCCAAAATTTTCTCAATGGACAATCAGAAAAAAAAATTTTAATCAGAAAAATTATTATTTTTAAAATTTACTATATGACACCCAAAGCAAAGGCAACAAAAGCAAAAATAAACAAGTGGGACTACAAAACAAAATGAAAAGCCACCCTTCGGAACAGGAGAAAATATGTGCAAATCATATCTGATAAGGGGTTAAAATCCAAAATAACCAAAGAACTCATAAATGACAAAAACCAGACAATCCAATTTAATAACAGGCAGAAGAACTGAATAAACATTTTGGAAGACATACAAATGGCCAAAGGGTACATGAAAAGATTCTCAACATCACTAATAATCAGGGAAATGAAAATTAAAACCATGATGAGCTATCACTTCTCATCTGTTTGCATGGCAATCGTCAAAACTACAAAAGTGTTAAGTGTTAGAGAGAATGTAGAGATAAGGAAACTCTTGTGCACTGTTGGTAGGAATGTAAATTGGTGCAGCCACTATGAGAAACAGTATGGAGGTTGCTCAAAAAATTAAAAATAGGGTTACCATATGATCCAGAAAAAAATGAAAATGGGATTATCAAAGAGAACAGATATCTGCACTCCTATGTTCACTGCAACATTATGAATAAAGCAGATATGGGGTGTGTGTGTATATGTGCATATACACATACACATACACACACAATGGAGTGTTATTCAGCCACGAAAAAGAAGGAAATCCTGCCATTTGCCACGACCTGGACAGACAGGCATTATGTTAAGTAAGTCAAAGACAAATACTGCACAGTATCTTGTATGTGTGGAGTATAAAAAAAAAAAAAAAAATCAAACTCATAGAAACAGTAGAAAGTGGTTGCCAGAGACTGGAGGTTGGGGAAAATAGGCAGAGGTTGGGAAAAGGATACAAACTTTCACCTGTAAGATGGTTAAGGTCTGAAGATGTATAATTTGCTGACTGTAGTTGATAACACTATATTATATAATTGAAATTTGCTGAGAATAGAACTTAAATGTTTTCATCCCCCCCAAAAATTTATATGTGTGTACGAACAGGTGATGATGTGATAGATGTGTTAATTATCTAGATGGAAGAATCTTTTCACAATGTATACATATATCAAGTCATCACAATGTATACTTTAAATATCTTATGATTTTGTCAATTATACCTCAATAAAGCTGAAAAAATACTACAAAGGAAAAAAATTATTGTAGAACAGAATTAATCTAGAACAAGATCATTTTAGACCATCTGAGGGAGTTTTGTTACTAAAATATCATGATGACATACACATTGGTCTCAAAATATTAACTCTGAAGGTAGAGAGCTTCATTTCCTAATGAAATAATGATAATTATACTTTCTTTACCTTTTAAATATTAATAAAAATATACTTACAGATTTAGCCAGCAAGGAGTAACTAAATCCAAGTGTTTCCCTTTTACCAGTGTCAATACTGCTTTTTTATGCTGAGGGTTTATGCTGCCATTACTGAATAGAATAAGTAATGGTTTCTGAAGCCTTAAATAAGTGGGAAGATTTTCTACAGTGATTTCTGGCTGTGAAAACAACAACATGAAGAGCAATGATACAAAAAATAGGAAATATGTTCAAATCACTCATGCAATTTTAGTTTGTAAATGTAATTCGAACATATTTTCATTTCAAGAGAGATCTGCTATACTGATAATTATATCTTGAGTTTTTATTTAAGCCCACTTTATCTTAATAATGAATTAGTTATTTTCAAAATAAAACTACTAATAGAATTTGAAAGTAAATTAATTTAAAGGAGCTCCCCATTTTACAAGGATGTAACACTTCTAATGATTTCTTATGCTAACTAAGATCTGGACTGGACTAGCCATCATACATACACAAGACAAAACTCTTGTTATGCTTTTATCTAACATAAAATTTTTGAAAAAATATAAGCGAGCTTTAAAGATATCTTTTAACATCTATGATTACTTAAAATAAAAATAAAATCTTATGTTTCAATATCATGGATTTTTAGCATAATTAAAATAACCAAAAATATGTTTATTTGGGGGTTTAAAATAACAAAAAAATTGCTAAAAAATTAATAAAAAATAAGAAATCTAATCCTTTTATTCTTAATTAAAAGTAACCATTTTTATATGGTTATAAAAGACAATGTATTATTGACAAGAATTGGAAAGAGCATCTAACAATGTCAATATATTTAGAATTAAAAAGCTATGACTTAGAATATTAAAGTCTACCATTTTTCATATTTAGTTCCATATCTATTATTTCATCTTCTAGACAGACTTATGAGCTAGATTAAATCATCCTCTATTAGATAAATAATCCCCAGCTGACAGATGAGGAAAACAACGAAGAGAAGCTGACTTGCTAGAGTCAGAAGGCTAATAGGAGAAGAGTTGAATCTAGCACCTAGGCATCCTGTTCATCAGCTTCACATCTCATTGGATCCCACTAAAATCCCATTAAACAATTTTATTTTTTTCATGGTGCCAACCACCACTGAATACACTACTAGTTCATCATCCTAAAACATTAAAATCTGTTTTCAAAGCCACTTTCCTCTGCCAATTCTTATTTTCTTCAAATTCTTTTTCTTCTACACTTAAAATAGTTTCTCACACCTTCCTCTTTCATGACTTAAATCTTAGATCCCTTCTCCAAATTCTTCTATGTTGTCTTCTTGTGTTAACTATCAATCTTTAACCTTCTACGTGAGCTATATGCCCTTCCTAAAAGGGACAGATCTCATCAAGCCAGCAGATCTCCTCACTCAACAGATTCGAAACAGGTTAAGATCAAGTTACCACTGCTCAATTCAAACATTTACTAAGAACAACAAAGTTCAAAATGTTATGCTAGGTACTGAACCAAAACGAAATAAAATATTTTCCCTGTCCTCAAAGAATTCATACTTTAGAGGAGACAGGTATACAAACTGTTGTGATCCAATAAAAAATTTAATGTATAAAAATAAGGAAACCTATTGGCTCAAAATTAAGCTAAAAAGCAAGGTCGAGGAGCTCATGGATGATTTTAGATAGTGATATTTGATCTGGACCTTGGATAAGGAATAAGATCTTGACAGACTGAGTTGTGTGCTAGAGCAGGGATTCCAGATATAGGGAGCATGATAAGGATAGGCAGAGAGGTGTTAAGGCATATATAATATCTGGGGAACAATGAAAGTGAAATATGCCAGACTTAGGCAACCAAGAGGCCAATGTGGCTGTCAGATCAGGTGGGAAAATGATTTCACAGGTTTTCTAGTTCCCAGGAATAATGAGATTTTGTATCAAATGAGTGACATGATTAGGCCTGTTTTAGGATGACTGATTGGAATATGAATTTGTAGAATGACAGAGCAGTGACGGGCTCTGCTCTTTCCAATGTCTGCCAGAAAAGAGACAAAGAGTCTGTGAGTTCAGAAGTTAAAATTAGAAATCAGATTTAGGAATCATCAGCTCGTATAATGATGGTAGAATTTATGGGTATAGATAAAACTTCCCAAAGGAAGAACATAGCAAAAGAAAAAAAAAAAGGGTTGAGGATGTAACCCTAGAGTGGCCAGAAAGTTGAAGGAGTATCTAGAGAGGACTGAACTGCAAAAGCCAGAGAAAGAGAGACTTTTAAAAAGGAATGACATAGTTAATAATTTTGATTGTTACTGAGCAGCTAAGGAGAAACAGAAAAGGTTATTAAATGTGGTAACTGGAGGGTGACCTTTGGCTATTTGAGTATGTAAGAGGCTATAATTATGTGGGTTCTGGTATTCTTATTCATAATAAAAGCATGAAAAAGGAACTCAATGTATCTGAGAAAAATACTAAACATATTTCCTAACAAATAGTTCAAAGTGTGACAGCCTTGGATATATCATTGCTTATGTAGTTAGTTATCATTTGGGCATTATTTACCTAGGCTAATTATTTACCTAGGCTAATTTGTCATTAGATTTGTTAAATAAAAATGTGATGCCATGTAACACGTTTACCATCTGGTCACCCACTCCTCCTCCTTCCTGTTCAAACGAGGGAACCAAAGTCTTTCCAGCACCTAAGCGCAGGCCAGGAGATGAGCTTGCTGCTTGCTGGCTGTCGCAGGCACTACGGGCTCTAGACTTAAACCCCCAACACAGAGCAGCTTTAAGAAATTTAATAACCACTTGAGGGTTTTAGAATTTACGGAAAGGCCACACACTAAAAGCAAAATAATTCTTATAGCTGTTCAGCATTTAGTTGAACACTGTAAACCAAAACATTGTTGAATAAAACACTGACACAATGCAGTGTTTGCCTAAGCAATGAACAGATTTTAATAAGTTTGCCCACAGTTTCTCAGCTTTAAAGAATGTAATATTAACGAAAAAAAATCAGACATCAATTTTTATCTATTATTTAGGCAAAAGGAGTAAAATAATACAAATCTTCTGTCAGGCAAAACAGGAATAAGTATCAGAAGCCTTAAAAATGTGCCTACCCTTTAGAATAGCAATTCAAATTCTATGAATTTACCATAAACACTAAATCATGGAAATACCCAAAGATTACCTACAAGGATGATCTCTGAGTAAAACAAAACTAAAGACAACTTAGATATTCATCAACAGAAAACTGATTAAATTGTTTTTAGTACAACAGAATATTAGGCAGATATTAAAAAAAATGTACCTATCTTTACTTCTTAATGAAAATAGCCCTTAATATAGAAAGATAAACACGTATACACACAGAATTTTTCTAAAGTTTTGAGAAAATATATCCCCAAATTTAAACTTAGTTAAAGAGGTTATAGTTGATTCTAACTTTCTTCTTTATAGTTTTCTCTATTATCTGGAAAAAACAGTTGAAGGCTTATAATAATTCCAAAAATATCACACTATGTATATGCTAAAAAAGATCCATTTAATAACATATTAAAGACAAAATTGTTACTTTACTAAATAATTTAGAAAACTACATCCTGAAAATATTAATAATTTGATTAATTATAACCTGTAACTTTAATTGGTGGGGGTGGTGAGGGAACAGAACCAAGGTGACAAAAGACTTAATGATTAGAACTACAGTCATTTATTTGAGCCTAAAATATGTCATTTAAATCATCATGACAAAAAAAACATAAAAATAAGAGGATATTCGTTCAGTATTTATAGCTAATAGTGCTCCTTATGTCACTTTATAAATGTAGAAAAGCATAGATTTATAATAATCTAGCTATGTTTAATATAAATACAAACCAACTGAAATCAAGAAATGCAGATTATATCTTTTGTGCCCCTGAATCCACTATTATACAAAGTAAGCATTGAAAAGAGGGACTTTCATTAAGTCAACATTTTGTTCCAAATCTGTGTAAATAATAAGAATAGTAGTTAAACTTTGTTGAATGGTTATCAGGGGCCAAACACTGAACATATGCACTGTACACATACTTCATGTAGTCCTTACAGTAACTCTCAGCAGCAGGTGCTAGTATCTCCTACATTTTACACATGTGGAAACTGAGCCACAGAGAAGTTACACATAAAGCCAGTAAGGAATCAGGAAAGGATTTAAAGCTGAACAGTCTGACTCTCAGGAATCCATGCACTTTATACCAATTTTCAGCCTAGATTAAGTACTTCAACGGGCCATCAGCCACACTAGTCTCAGCAATAAAAATTATCCAAAGACATGTAAACTTTTGGCAAAATAAAATATACTCACAAATGTTTCCAGCAATGAATTTGTTATTATTTGAACTATGTCTTGCACATGGGTGTTAGCTAATGGAATGCTCTCTACTTTGCCTTCTTTGTGTCTGGCTAGCAGCAGGGCTGGAAGAGTTGCAGTATATTTATTTGACCTATGGAGAAATATAGTAATAAAAATTTTAACCAAAATATAGCAAATCATCAAAAACATGAACAATCGGGCCAAGAGGTCACAGTGGGAGGCAGCAAATGGAAAGCCCTACTACCAAGAAATAAAAAAGAACTAAATTTACAGACAAATTTATCTTCTGAAGCCTTGACAATTTAGCCTAAAAGAAAGCAACAGATAATAATCTAGCCAGATTTTTTTTCTAGACGACTTATTCAAGAAAATGTCTAAAGAGAATGGGGAACAAACTGAATGGTTCTCAGCCTTTTTGGACTGCTTGCCATATCCTGAGCAGGGAGATTGGCATTTATTAGAAAACTATTTGCAGGGACTACACCAGGTGCTTTTAGTTAAGGTTTCACTTAACCCTCAGAACAGCCCTTTGAAAGAGCCACTATCACCCCCATTTTACAGATACGGAAACCAGGACTCAGAGAGTGATAAATGGCAGAGAGAGAAGTCAAACTGAGAGACTCCAGATAAAGAGCCTGTGCTCTCTTCACTGAAAAAGCCCAAATCTGCTCCCTCCTATCACTAGTTTTGCTAGCTAAACCTATAAGAACATCCTTAATTAGGAAAAAAAAAAGCTTTGTGTGAAATTACCATTGAGGTAGTCACGTTTACATCATAAAAACTTAATTCATGCTAGAATAAAGTACAGACATTATAATATAAACATGAACAGAGAGGCCAGTCATCAGACTACCTGCAGGACCCTTTAAGTTAACCAGTCGGTTATAAACAAAACACACCCTGAAAACCACTGGTCTAGTTGCTTGGGCCACAAATAAATGACCAATGACAGCAGAAAAGAAGAGAGTGGGTGACTGTCCATGCGTAGGTGAATAAGTCATATTTCCCAAAGATCTGGAGTTCAGTATTTACTTTTAAAAAATTACTAATTTCATGGGTAGAACAGGAGCTTGATCATCAAAAGCATGTATGTTGCCGGTGCTCAGGATGAAAGATTTAAGCGTGGCAATCATAATCAGGAATATTATAATCAGCAAGTAAGAAAGACAAACTACTGGGCTTAACAATTCCACTTGCTTCTGAAAATGAGCCATTGATGCAGATTAATCATACTCTCCAAATTTTCAGTTCAGTCTTTAATTCTGCAGTAACTAAAATATTTGGTAGTTCACAGGAGCCCCCAATTCTACAAATAAAGCAATTTAAGTGGCTAAAACCACTAAGTGTATGTTAGCAGTAACTTAAAATTAGGTAGGACTATAGGGTATAGTTGAACTAAAATTTTGGGAGAAATCTGGAAATATGGAAAGATTTTTACACACACACACACACACACACCCCACACACCCCCCCCTTGGTGGCAAATCAAAACCCAAACAAAATTTCCCCCCACCTGCCCAAAATATGACAACTCCAAAGAATCAAATTTCAGGTAACAGAACACAAAAAGGAAAATTTTTATAGGAAGATGAAGTAATATAAATCCAAGGTTGCCCTGTGGGGAGCTCTAGCCTAAAGTAAAAGAATATCTAAAAATTCTAAATAGTCAGGTGGCACTTCCCAGAGAATGAAATTAAAAATTTAGTTATGCCCTATCTTCTTCATTAACTGTGTAAAGACAAGCAATATATTATTTTACAAAGTCCTTCCTCCCTAAAATCAGAAGACCAATAAACTTACAGTATTGAAACATCATCTTCAGAATAAATTCCAGTGACAACATATCCTTTTAGGTACTTTCCTGCTTCAGTGAAATCTTCTTTTGCTATGAATACACAGACAAAAATATGAAAACTTTAAAATTATGTGTGCTGTTCAACTGATGAACAGATTTATAAATGATAGTATTTTGTTATTAATTATAAAGATAAATACTTAAGTGCAGACCTTATATAACTTCGTAGTTCTAAAATAAATCTGTTCTTTTTATGACATTTGATTATTACAGATACGTAGATTGACACAATGAAACTACGGTTCCCTAAACAAATGTACTCTAAATGTAATTGATTTTTAGCACTCTAATCACAGAATTACTGAACAAATATTTGTTGCTTTTTTAATTTACTCCTAAGGCATGATAAATGGAGACAACTAACCTATAAGTAGCCTGGAAAAAAAAGCAGGTATGTAAAATGATATACACATTATAATTACAAAATCTAAAAATGCTTATACGCATAAACAAAAATAGAAGACTGAAAAGTCCTCTAACAGTGTCTGTATTAAGGTTCTGTGATTATGAAGGATTTGAGTCTTCTTTTTATACTCCCTGTATTTCCTGTAATGTGTTTTTGTTACTTATGAACTTTAACTTGTGTATCAGTCTTTTCTCATTTGTTAGGATACTGGTATTTGAAATTAAATTATTCTATAAATTTCTAAATACATTTTCATAAATAATAGCATATTCTGGATCATGTTGATGACTATCTTATAACCAATAAGCAAGTGTGAATTAAATAGTTGTAGACTAATGAGAAAAGAGCAGGAGTGGACTGATATAAACGATGTGTTCTTGCCAAGTGAAGGCCAAATGATGGCTCAGCTTGCTGCAAGAAAGGGTCACAGGAGTTCAAATATAAAAACAATGATAGAAGATTTGAGTCATAAAGCACCTAGCAGTCTGGGCATGCTGAATCCAAAAGATCTGTACCTTAGTGTTTAGCACTATATTCAGGATATGAGCGTCCACAGTGTTAACATCAGATAACCACAAGATTATTTTCTTTAAAAAGGATGAATACTTTCCACAAAATTGAGAAACATTGTTCGTAGGAAAGCAAATTTGCTAGAGTGGCACAGTCAGCCAATAGGCAGCACTGAGAGCTCATTTATAATCATGACTTTAATGAGAAACTAGTAACCCATGAAAATATTTTCTTTATCCTGTGCTATGCCAAAGCAGAAACGATTCACAAGAAAACTAAGCAACAAGAAAGGGCTGAGTTCCTATACTTTCATTTCTAAGAGGAAACAAGACTAAATTCTGGTCAATAATTGATAATCATGATCTAAAGCAATGACATAATAGAATCTGTTTCAGCTTTTTTTTTGAAAAGTAAATGTAAAACTACACTAATATTTCTATATAATTTCCACATATAGAAGCCTCTCTAACTTGTGAATGTTTCTTGAAATTCTCTTCATGAATCCACTTGTTCATAAATCCTAAGTTACCTGTGGGATAGGAGCATTTAACACTGTAGACCTCAAATGCATATCCATTTCCACTACATCAGAGTGTAAATTTTCCTCTGAATGTTTAAAACCGTGAATATTCTCCTCCTTGATGAAAACTGCATATACATCAGAATGTATGGCAACCCCAAATATAAGGACATAATCTATCATCTAAATAAAAAGTTTTAACCACTATAAATATGCTTGGGATGTAATATTAATGGTGACCTATAATATTTAGTTATTTAACTATAAACATATTTTAATTGCATAAAAATACATTAATTTAGTAGTATTGCTTTTTTTGTCACATATTATTGAATAGTTTTATATATATATATATACATATATATATACACACACATAGATCTGTTTTTTAACTCTGTCAGCAAAAGTTGAGAAGCAAGAACACTCCGGTAACTAAAAGCACTACTAATCTCTAGATCTTGGTTTCTAAATTCGATGTCTCACTAAAAGGAACTTGGACTCCTTAGAGAAATATCTGATTCCAGGAATGGGGCTGGGAATATATTGGGCCGAAAGGACATATTCAAAGAATGATGGAGACATGGCAAAAAGACTAAGAGTCAGACTGAAGGGGCTCCCACTGACCAAATTTGAGCAAACTAGTGATAGTAACTGACTATAACCCATTGAATAAAATAAGAATTCAGGCATCTACACTAATAAACAAATGATAAGGGAAAGCTCTTACAGCTAATAAGTGTAGAAAGAATAATGGAGTTAGAAATTTTCCACTTGGCAACCTTCATAGTTATAGTTCCTTCAGGCAATGAATTCTAAAACTAAAGTACAAAAGTATAATGAGAAACAGGACATTTACAGTTTTAAATTATATCCCCATAAGGTATTTATTAATTACAAAGGAAAAAATAGTAACTTTCCAGTAGAGGGAACTGGCAGATATACCAGTAGACAAAAGAGAATTTTCAGCCCTCATGAAATTCACATTATATTAGTCTTCAAACCATCAGAATCTATATAAACAACAAATCGATATCTGATGCAAAATCAGTGCTCAGTAAATGTCAGTAGTTAGCTTTTATGAATAAAATACAAATGTACATGAAAATGTTAATGAATTCATAATAGCCTTTTAATGTTACACAGTTTTTCATTCAATGTATGTTGAAAGTCCAGTAACTATCATGTGAATGTCTGCGAAAAGTAAAAACAACAAAAAAGAACTAATACTTGACTGAAATACTTGGGAATAGTCAATCCAGTGAGATAATAAAGAAGCATCATATCCAGATTGTATCATTTTGGCACGCCAGAACTGCCTGTATATAATTTAATATTACACTTTTGACTTTTTTTGAGAAATAATTACTTGTAAATTTTATCATTGGTATAGAAATATAATCATGTACACTGTTCCTTATTTTGATCTCAAATAAAAAACAGTATGAAAAATTCCTCCTCAGCATTTACAATCAGGAGAAAGTTTTCTCTATGGGTGAGTCAGCAACCTAACTTGATAAGACGGAAAAAAATTTCATCTTTATGTTTCTGGTACTACTAGATTGCTTACGGTTAAGTTTTATGATCAACTGTAGTGTTTTCTAGATGTTTTACATAATTACACCCCACTTCTGTATTGCTTAATCTTATCCTTGTTTTAATGATTTTATTGTATTTGTGCTTTTTATTATCTGAAGACTAATTCTTTTTGGAAGGAGGCCCAGTGTAAGTAATAAATGAGAACTTCAGGGCACCAGGCACCTGAGGTAGACAGAAGTCAACAGTGGGAGCGAAAACATTAGAAAGGGAAAAACAAAGGAGGAAAACACAGACTCATTCACTTCACCATTTTTCATAAAGAAAATACAAATTAAAAAGCTATGCTGTCTAGTATTTTACTTTTAAGAGGATAAGCCACAAAGCACACATTAACATTCTTAATATTTCTTTGTAGTAAGCTGTTTTGGCTTTTATTTTTAAAGATTTTGAAGAAAAAGCAGAAGGAAATAATTACTAGACAGAAATGTATAGAAAGCAAAATTTAATAAGTAGTTGACAGTATATACAAATATTATGCTAGACATTGGAATCCTTTTCCTATACAAATATTCTTAAAAGATTTCATTCAGAATTTGAAATTCATCTTAATAAAAGAAAAAATAAGGGGAGAAGTTTGCTAGATAAGTGGCAATTGCGTGTGATGAAGAAAACACTAAAGCTAAGGATTTTATTACCCAAGTCAAGAGGTCATCCGTATGCAAAGGCAAGAGAATAGCATTCTAAGCAATACTATTGGTCAGAAAAACATTCCCTATGTACCTTTCCCTTAAAACTTACTGAAAGACACATTCCTATGAAGCAAGAAAGAAATAAAGACCGAGTCTAAAAATAGAGTTGTGATATTACATAGTCTGACGCTATGGTAAAATTGTAAAGTAAAATTAATTGCTATAAAAGTACTGTATCAAAGTTGAATGCAAAAAAAAATTTGAAATGCATCAAAAATAAAATCAATTAATTGACGGAGGGAGGGATGAATAGATGTATAGGTATATGCTAAAGCAAGTAGGGTTGAAATACTGTTGGTAGGAATGTAAAATGGTGCAGCAACTATGGAAAACAGTAATGTGGTTCCTCAGAAAATTAAAAATAGAATTACCATATGACCCAGCAATTCCACTTGTGGATATATATCCAAAAGAATTGAAAGCGGGGTCTGAAGAGAGTTGCACACCAATATTCACAGTAGCATTATTCATAATAGCCAAGAGGCAGAAACAATGTAAGTGTCCGTCAACATATGACTGGATAAATATGTTATATACATACAATGGAATATTAAGCCTTTAAAAGAAAGGAAATTCTGACACATGCTAAACATCAATGAATCTTGAGGACATTATGCTAAGTGAAATAAGCCAGTCAGAAAAAGACAAATGCAGTATGATTCCACTTATATGAGGTACCTAGAACAGTCAAACTTACAGAGACAGAAAGTAGAATGATGGTTGCCAGGGGCTAAGGAAAATGCAGAGTTGTTTAATGGGTATAGTTTCAATTTTGTAAGATAAAAAAGTAACGATGTAAATATACTTAACATTAGTTACCTATAACTTAAAATTGGTTAAAATGGTAAACTTTATGTTACGTGTATTTTATCACAATTTTCAAAAAAGGAAAAATATTTAAAGCAAAAAAAAAAAACATAAAGAAAATATAAATAAAGCAAGAAGAAAATACAAGTGAATATTAACTGATAATAAATATAAGGATTTTATATAGCTAAAAGCACTGGAAGAAATCTCAAAATCAATAAATTTGAAAACAATTTTTAAACTGCTATATATAAAATTATTGTTAAAGAAAGTTAAAAAGCAAACAGTGAACTGAGGGAAAACAATTAGAGCAAAATGATAAAAGCTTAATATCCTTAATATATAAAATCTCAGTTATTTATTGGAGAAGTACTAAAACTGCATTTTACAAACAGTTTATGGAAGACAAAGTTATTCCCCTATTGGGACCTATACTCATTAAATATCCTAAAATCCATGCAAAGGCTCATAATAAAAATCTTCTCTACATGCAGCAAAAAGACCAAAAAAACACAACAAATATTGTTGGCAAACAGTTAAATAAATTATGGTAAAGTCATCCAATCAAATAGTATACAGCCATGTTTCTGAAGAATATTATTCACAGGGAAAAAAATGCACCCAGGTAAACAAAAACAGCAAGAAACTAACCTAGATACACAGTACTAGCCCAATTACATTAAAACATATATAAATATGCAATACATAGGTATACAGAAAAAGAAGAAAGGAATTACATCAAAATTTAACAACTCTAATTATAGATTTTTTTCTTCAAATTTCTCTGTATTTTCAAAATCCTATATGAGTTCTCTGTAATTTAAAAAAGATTAATTTAAATTCTTTAAAAAAAAACAAACAAACTAGTAAATGCATTTTTAACTACGTATTATGTAATTTAAAAGTTCAATTCTGTCTACGGCCATGCCACCCTGAATGTGTCCGATCTCATCAGATCTCAGAAGCTAAGCAGGGTTGGGCCTGGTTAGTACTTGGATGGGAGACTACCTAGGAATACCAAGTGCTGTAGGCGTTAAAAAAAAATAAGTTCAATTCTACTTACCTTTTGTCATGTTTGGACTAAATAGTCCCAGTATTGACACGCTAGCATAAGAGATCAGGTCTTTATATAATTCCCCACTTAAATATTCTTCTGCTTCTCGGACAGATGTTATATTCACTGGACATGATATCCTGTTCCTAGACGAATATATAGCTATATTCAAAATTAATTTTTAAAGATACTTTTCAGCTTATGAAAAATAAAACATACTGAACTTAGCAAACACTATATTCCTCAGGATAAACATTTGACAAAATAAAGACAAATACCATTCTAAACAAACAAAAAAATCACCCTCATTAAACAAAATTTCTATCTCCCCAATAGTGATGGAATGTGAATGAGCTCTCCTCATCAATACTTATCCTGTGATCTCAATTCTATCATCCTCCTTAACCTATTCAAAGTGTGTCAACAACATATATAATTAGAAGTTTTACAGATCTAAAAGTTTAAAAATCTTAGGGTGAAGGTAAATACTTACAGCTGGATAAATTTTAGGAGATCTTCTGTTCCTAACATACCAGCATAAGATACTGGGTTCTTGCCTTCCTTGTACATCTTTACAACCGGAAATTCAGTAACATTTTGTTTAGTACATACATCAGACCAATCAGCACAGTTTATTCTAGTAAGCAGCATAATTGATGTGCCTAAATAAAAGGAAAATGAACATTTTATAATTATTAATGTAGAAAATTGTTGCTGAAAATTGTTAATATTTTTATATCCCATTCTTAAATGAACCTCTCAGCAGCACGACACTGCTGCTGAATACTGTTCCCTTGGTTTTTGCAACACTTTCCTCTATTGGCTTTTCTCCCACCTCTCTTGCTGCTCCTTCTTGGTCCCTTTTGCAGTCTATTTTGCCAGTAGAGATGGGAATTTCTCAAGCCTTAGTTTACGCTGCCTTCTCTATTTGCTCTACATGTTTGTCCTAGACAATCTCCCAAACCGTCAACAATCTAATGAATCCTACATTTATACCTTTGGACCAGGTTCCTTTTGAAAATTCCAGACCCATGTATCTTTACTGCCTTCTCTATATCCCTTTGCAATGGAAACATCCTAAAACTTAGTTACGTCCAAAACCAAATATGGTTTCCTTCCTGGACATACTAGTGAACACAGCCCAATTCTTGTACAACTCAAAAAACAAAGTATCATATTTTGTCTATGGCCATGCCACCCTGAACATGCCAAATCTCGTCTGATCTCAGAAGCTAAGCAGGGTCGGGCCTGGTTGGCACTTGAATGGGAGACCACCTAAGAATACCAGGTGCTGTAGGCGTTTAAAAAAAAAGTATCATCTTTCATGCCTCCCCATTCCTATGCCCCCCAATGTCTAATCAAATCAATCAGCATATCTTTTTAATTTTACCACTCAAATTTTACCTGTCCATTTCTCTTTACTGCCACTACTCTAGTCAACTTTTTGTCCTGTAGATAACCATGAAAGACTTCTAATTCATCTCCCTGAATTCCATTATGACTCTAGCCTGAGGCTAAAGTTATCTTTTCAAAATTCAAATGTTTTGTTACAACCCCACCCCCACCAACCTTTGTGTAGTTCTGTCTTTCTAGTCCCTTGAGATCTCTGCATATGTGCCTATTTCAAGGAAGCCTTTTTGGACACCCTGATCTACAACAGGTTTCTATGCCCTTACAGAATCAAGCTCCTTTCTTTATCTTGTCATGTAATTATTGTGTGTTTATCTGATTAATGTCTGTTTCTACCAAGAGAGCTCCTAGAGAGTAGGGACTGTGTCTGTTTTACTCATCATTGATTTTCTAGCATTTAGAGCAGTCCTTGCACATTAAACACCTTAAATGTGTGTGTGAACAAATGACACACATGAAACTAATCCAGGTCTAGTGGTATCCACCTTGTCTAAATACTAAGATTCCTTTTCAGCCTAAGAAAACATAGTGGAATACCAAAAAGAGATTCCTACTTGTTCTATAATAATTTATGTAAAGTTCTCCCAAACTTGTAAATCATTAGGTTTCTGGAAAGAGGTCAAAAACCAAATAAAACAAGCACAACACAGTTCAGCTATGAAAGGAAAGAATAAAGTCTAATAGGAAACTTTAATATATTACATGAAAGGAGGAATCTTTGTTTATCAGTTTAGGACATATTTAATTTAGGATGTAATCTAATCATATGATTAAAATTGTGAAATGCAATATTTTAATATTTTATCAAGTTTTTAGTACTACAAATTCACTTTTATATTTTAAATGACTCCAGATTGTACCACATAGATACAATCAATAACTTATCGCTAGATTAGTGTTAGCAATCTATCTGATCATACAGTCGGTCTTATTCACCACTATATTCTCACTGCCTAGCATAATCTCAGTTACATAGTATGTATCCAATAAGAATTTGTGGACTGTACCCTAATATTTCTTCATGAACAAATTTTTCTTTAAGAACCTGTACGTACTGTATAAGCATATAAACAAAGATAAATCCTTATTCCTTCTAAAATTAGATCTGCTGACCTCTCTGCAAAGTTCTCCTATCCTTTATTTTAATTATTTAGTCAATAAATATCTGGTGATACTTGTTCATACATAGTACCATGTTATATACTGCTACCCAAGTATGGAATTTATTGCTATTACAAATGTAGTTCTTTCCCTTCAATAGGCATCCTCGACAGGTCTACCACTGCTAATAATGTCATTATTCCTTTGTCCCTAAATTGAAAACTCTGATGTTATCTTTAATACCAAAAAAAAGAATATTGATACATATCATTAAACATTCTAAGAGCGACCTATATTAAAGTCACCAATTTAAAAGTTTTATTTTCTTATAAGATGATTTCAATATTTAATCCTGTTTCAATTGGAACAGTCTAATATTCTAAGATGTCTGTACTATATCCCATACACTTTATCAAAGCAGTAATTTCAAATAGAGTTCCTAATTTAAAGAAAAAGATTCTTTAGCTACAGATAATACGTTAAGTATAAAACTTGACATTTACTGCCACCTTGTGACTGAGTGGAAAATATTCATCGTCTTTGACTAAAAGATGACAAGTGACTTTTCCCAAGAAGTCAATGTGAAAGGTTATAGGACTAAAGGCCCAAAGTATTACAATACTGTCCTATTTTACAAAGTTATAGCTTGTCCTTCAACACAGACACAAAACACTATAGTTACCTGTATTATGCATTTCTACATTAAGCCCCCTGAACTTCCAAAAATCTGTTTATCTGATATCTAATTACTAAAAAAAACTGTTACTCATAAAGAATGTATTAGGTGAAAAAGGAAATGAAGTCCTGGATTGGTAATCTGCTTTCTTATGTATTCTACAAACACATACAACTCCGAGTCCTTGCACTGAGGGGTCAGGTAGTCTATCTGGTCATTAATAGAGAAGAAAGTAAGGAAATCTTTTTCCATTCTCATTTGGTAACTAACCAAATAGGCTGGGGGGATAATTCTATTATTCAAAGACATTAGCCAATTACTATTTCATTTTAGTTTATATTCCACTCCCCATTTTTCCTTTCTTCTCTAATAATTTTCCAGTAAGATTGGAGAACCTAAAAGATGAAAATTAAATCTATTCAGAGATTACAAAGGATAGCCTGAAAGAGAACAGGATTTGCTTTAAAAAAAAAAAAAATTAGGAATCCCAGTATCTAAATGCTTAATCACCTCTTCACTTAGGTAATCAAATAATCAAAAGTTGAATTAAATGTTATTGAGAAATGACTACTGGAGAAATGGTTCAAAAATGATTGTCAAAATTTCTGCTGTTTTTATTACTATAGAACATGTTAAATTCAGTGTTGACTTTCTGGAATCAATTTCTTGAGTTCACCAAAGTCTCCAATATATAAATAAGTTGTACACCAGTACATATTTTCTATTAAATATGATAAAATTTATGAACCTCTACTATATTAGCTTATTCATTTATTCAACAATTATTAAAAACCAATAATTCAACAATTATTAAAAGTATGGCAACATGTCAAGTCTAGTGAGCTATGTATAAGGCACAAGACCTGCCCATTAGGAACTTACTAAATAATGAGTGAGCCTGTAAACCAGTGCCCCCGAAACTAAACAGTGGATACATTCCTAGAGTATCCAAGAACAAGCCTATTTGACTATAATTGCTTCTATTTACCAAAAAAAAAAAAAGAAAAAAGTAGGTAGAAATTTTATTTCAGATACAAAGCATGATACATTGTCTTATCCAAATGATTATAAAACATTATCCTAATCCATCATTATCTCTCTCTAACTAATAGGCCTCCCTACTTCTTCTTATGTCTTTGCTAGGATGGTGGCATACACATTTTGAGTTAAAGTCCATTCCTTGGGTTCTTATTTGCCTATCACTGGATCAGGTTTCACAGAATAGTTAAAATAAAAAGATCCTAGCTATTTAGAAATATCCTCGTCCATGAGAAACTAACTATATAGCTTTCAAGAACACTGAGATCCTGGCTCTTTGATTAGAATGTAAGAATGAATCTTGTCTGTCAAATGTTTATTCGTACTTAGTGTTTATTTAATAATATTTAATAGTAACTGGCACAGAGTAGGCACTCGATAAATATTTGTTGAATTTAGCCATAAAGGTTATAGATTAATTGTGTGGCCACAAATACTCAATACATGGCTTTCAATGTTCTACTAAAGACAGTTCCATGAAGACGATTGAAATGAATACTTCTGAGCATTTTTGAAACTCATGGTTCATTAACTTAACCTTGGAGAGAAAAACATAATAATCTGAAATTTTATGCAGTTTTCTTCATCTTCAGCATGACCCAGTTTTACAAATAGCTATAGCTCAGAATCAGGAAAATAACCATGCACACCACAGTACAATACCTTTCAATTTAATTGCCAAATCGATATAGGACTGCAGAAATGCCATGGATACTGCTTGCCCTATATTAAAATTAAAAATTCAACAGATATTACAACATGTATATCTCCAAAGCACCCATACTTATACATAACAAACGTATAGATTTATGGGGTTTCCCAAAATTGTTATTTCTTAATCAGTAATATTCTAGAATACAGTACTCAATATTGTTCCAAACATTTAAGAGGGTTCCAAATGCAACTAATTTTCTACATTCATACTACAAGGAATACAGTTGAAGGGCTATTATTTGAAGATAAAAGCAATATACTTCCTATACTGTTCCTAAATCTATAAGAACTGTTAATATATTAAAATCATTATCTTGAACCACAATAATTTTTCTAAATTAATAAAGTGAATATCTTGTTTAATTATTTATTAGCTTTCAATTTGTAGGTCAGATCTATATAATCAGTTTTACAACCCCAGAATCAGCTAGAAGTGATTCATTATGTGCAATCTACCTGGGACATATGAAAGCTATGTCATTTTACAACGTGCAATATTCAGAATGCAAAAATAAAATTTGCCTACTTTAAATGTCCTAATATATAAGTGTTTCCACTAAAGGCTCATACTCACAACCAGCATAGAAAAGCACTATGCTGTCAGAAGCCGTTACTGTCGCATTAAATGTCTCTTCTGTTAGTTCCACTGTGAGCTCCAAAGGTAACTGTCTCTTCCTGTCTCTGTAAACAGTTTCTGCTACTTCATCATCTTGAATTCCTAAAACGTTTGAAAAGAAACTATATAAATGTATAATTAAAATATTTAAGCTCTTTTCCCAGGTGAAAATTTGGTATTTTATAAAAACTTTAAATTCACACTATTTTATTAGTTAAAATGCATGATACTTAGAAACTTTCTGGTTGGCCTGGCTTCCTGTCCTAAATGACTCTGGGATGGTTCCTGACTCAGAAACTGTGATGTTTTAGTCAAGTCCAGAAGCATTTAACTTGTCTAAAAATAATATGTCTATTTTGTTTCTAATAAAATGTTAATTTACAATCCAAAAAGGTTCTACCATACATATGACAGTGTTTATTTAGCTTCCACTATATGACAAACACTGTGATAGACACTAAGGACAGTAGTAAACAAAACAGACATAGTCCCTGACTACATGGCACTCCTATCTACAAAAAGGTCAGACAATAACCTGGCCACTGAATAAATATATAATTATAAATTATGATCAATTTAAGAAAGGAAAAGGATACAGTGACAGATTATAACAGAGAGAATTAGATGGGGAGATCCAAAGTCTTCCAGGGAGAGAGAATCAAGAAAAGAATGTCTTGGGCAAAAACAATAACATATGCAGACTCAGAAAAAAGAGACATAAAAGAGCTTAATTTAGATAGACTGAATGACCAACCAACTCATCCACTCATCCATTCATCCATCCATCCATCCCTCCCTCCCTCCCTCCCTCCCTCCCTCCCTCCCTCCCTCCCTCCCTCCCTCCCTCCCTCCCTCCCTCCCTCCCTCCATCCATCCATCCAAGTATGTGGTAAAAAACACATTTGAATTTGGAAGTATTTTGCTGGAATTTTGTACAGATTATATGGTAACGATGAAGGGGCATCTAACTTGATTAGAGAGACAAAGCTTCCTAGAAGAGTTGACACTAGCTGAATATTAAAAGAAACTAAAACTTAGGAAGTAAAGGCTGGCAATGGGGGCATACAGAACAAAAGGAACAGCATGTGCAAAGGCACAGTGTCATGAAAGAGCATGACAACTGCAAGTGCAAATACTGACTGGATATCTTATGGTATTAAAGATTATTGGTAAATTTCTTAGATGTAGTAATAGCAATAATTATGTTAATTTTAAAAGAATTCTTATATCTAAAACACACGGAAATATTAATGGATGAAATTATATATTTTGTATTTGCTACAAAATAATAAGGGGTGGCAGTGATTGGAACAGGACAGCCATAGAATGACCGTTGTTGGGTGAGGACAGGTAAAGGATACCAGATTTGTTTTATCCTATTTATGTAAGTTCATAATTGCCTATAATAACATAGTAAAAAGAAAGGAAGAGAGGAAGACAGTACAGTATGACAACTAAAGTATTATTTTGCATATGATTTCTAATACTATAAAAGAAAATACTAGATCTGAATGTCAGTACATCTCAGCAATTCTCAACTGTGTAATGCTAATTAATCTCATAACTCTCTGGGCCTCAGTGTTCAAATCTGTAAAACATAAGAATTGCACTACATTAAATTTGACGTACTTTTAAATACCATATTCCATGATACTAAAGTGCCTTCAATACCCAAATTAATAAAGGCTTATTTTCTTAGTTACTGTATTTTTTTTCATTTTCCTGCCAGTCCTTTATTTCCCAGTCCATCGTTTCTTTTCTTACCTTGTTCCAATACCTTCTTTCCTTTTTTATTCTTTCTTAATAAGCTACGCTCACTTGTAAATTTACTCACTCCTAAGTATACCTTTCACCTATCCATCAATATATACACATTCTTGTTTAAGCCATACATGTTTATTTTTTCATATTGTCCTTTTGTAGAACTTCGTCAACTTTGTTCTAATTCATCTTGTGCCCATTTCCTTTGAAGGACATTTTTCTTTGTGTTCCACTCTTAACATGGTAACAAACTCTTTTCTAACCCTTATCTGTTTTTCCTACATAAATTGGAATGAAATGGGGGAGGGGGTGATTATGCAAATGAGCATGACATCACAAAATACTATGAGCCAATATGCATTACAGTCATAGGAAATTAAGACAAAAAAAAAAATCACAACAAAACAAAAAACAAAAGATAGCACTGTAAAAGAAATACTAGAATTAGGCTGGTAGAATCAGAAAAGGCAGAGTGAAAGGGCAAACTAAGGCCAGAGAATTGGGAAGCAAGAGAGGGTGTAAAAACAGGAAATCTTGAAATAGGTAACTCCCACTGAGGACAGAAATCTTACTAAACTGACACTGGGCAGTTCCCCTGACTCTAAAGGTTGGAACATATGAGACACGATAGGAATAAAGCACGGAGCAAGCGACCAAGGACACAGAACACAGGTCTATCTCTGTAATGATGACACTTATGGCTTAAACCACGAGCAATTCTAACCTTTGCATATCAGAAAAGGACTACAACATACCTCAAACCATGAAACTGGTCACTGGTAACAGCTAAAGCTCACAGCCCTTACTACATTTATAATATAGATTTTGATCTTAATGATGATGAACCTCATAAAAAATAGGCAAATTCCTGCCTTCTTGGGGTTCACGATAATAGTACTATATAAAATATTTAAGTATTTACTAAATGGGATACAAGAACAGAGAAGACCTAATCCCTTAGAGGTATTACAGACTAGTGGAGAAGAGAGAAAAGTAAATGAGCAATTACAGAATAGGATTGATGTTATGAAAGAAATATTAGGAATGATCATGATCATAGGTAAGATTTCAAGTCTGAATGCTTCATTTCTAATACAGGATCTAGAACATGCCACTTGTGTAACTTTGGGCAGATCATTTAACTGCTAAAACAAAGATTCTTCATCTACAAAATCAAGATGGCATCAGCTAACTCAGAGGATAACAAAGTAAATAATGTGTGGAGAAATAGCCTTGAAAACTATAGAATACTTCAAAAATGTAAGCCATGACAACAATAAAAAGAAAAACATGTTAAAAAGCATTCAAATGTTATTGAAATTTACTCCCCATAATGTTAACAATCAGATTTATTTACAACTACAAATACAACAGTATTTGTTAGAATTTCACTTCCTAATAATAATAATAAAAGTAAATTATGTAAATATGTTATGGTTCCTGGGTCGTTCTTAAACATGGAGTAGACCAAGAGGGCTGAAAGAATTGATTTGGAAGATAAAGACGCAGATGTGGAAAGCTAGAAGCCTGACATGTAACACCGAAAGGTATCACACTAAACAAAATACGGCATCCTTACATCTTTTCACCTAATCGGCTTGATAAAATGTGATTCAAAATAAACTTTTTCAGGTTTCTTCATAATTTTGAATGTGAATACATTCTGTGAAAAAGTTAATTCATTGAAATTTCACTGACCTTACGTGTGCTGGACAGGTATAGGGGGAGGTTATCATCACAAAACATATTACCCATATCTGGACCTTCCATGTCATCATCTTCATCTTCTTGTACTTCCTCAATGTACACATTATTTTCCACATGGGATATTACTAAATCAATGTCATGAAACACCAAAAATTCCACTGGCATTCCCTAGAAATACATTAAAAAAGTAACTAAAATATAACAAAGCATTTTTATATAAAAATGTTTTATTTGTTTGACACTAAAATGAAACTAAACATTTTTTTAAATAAATTTATTTATTTAAATTAGTTTCAAGTATACAGTACATTGGTTAGATATCTATAATGTTCATAAAAACGATCCTCCCAATTGCTCCCTCCCTCCCTTGGCCCTCCACTTCCTTTTGACTTCGATTTTAAAATTAAATAAAACAAAAAGAGGAAATTAACTCCACAGTTACTATGAAAAGTATCCAAAGCATACTTTATATAAAAAGATGGCCAAAAAGGAGGAACTGAAAGTCTCACTTGCTTCTTGTCACCATTACATTATACTGAAGTCTGAAGTATCTCATGTATAGCAGTTAAGTCCTACCTCAATATAAAACGAAAGTATACAATTTTATTGCAAACAGAGCCAATCAAAATTGTTTTGAATATTCCACAAAAATATTCAAAATAATACTTCATCTAAAATAATCCCACTAAAAAAGTTCAACTGCCTGTTTAGCTATGAACATAAAAACACTATCTACCCCCAGATATTTTAAGAACACCAAATTCTATTCCAACTGAGATTATTCCATTAAAATAATCTTTCTTTCACTAATACCTGGCTATCGCATTTTTTAAACCATGAAATTTTAGGCCAATAGATTATTTTAGCAAATTATCCCTGACTGTAACCATAAATTACAATATATCTATAAAAGAGCTTTAAGTGTCTCTTCTTTGATAGCACGTATCTTCATATTTTTATTATATTCTAAGCAAGCAATCTTTTACTCTTATAGAGACTAATGGAGCTAAAAGAAGAATCAAAATCAATCAAACTAAATTTATTCCAAACATACATAAAAATTATTGTGGTAAAATTTTTATTGAAGTCTAACATTCAAACAGTAAAGAACACAAAGTCTAAGTACATAGATAAATTTTTACAAAGTAGATAAACTTATGTCACTACCACACAGATTATGAGATACAACATTACCCAGAGGCCATCTTCTTTCTTGTCCGTCATTAGTCATTACCCTCCCCCAAAGGTAATCATTACTTTGATTTTTATCACCACCTATAAATTTTGCCAGTTTTTAAATGTATATAATAGAACTACACTCTTTGTACTCTTTTTGTGACTGCTTCATTTGCTCAACATTATTTGTGAAGTCGATCCATGTTGTTACATATACAAGCAGTTAATTCTTTTCCAATACTGTAGGTGTGTTCATTATATGAATATACTAGTGTTTACATATTTGTTTATCCATTCAATTGCTCATGGACATAAGTTATGAACATTATTGTGGCTGTCTTTTGATGCACATGTATACATACTTCTGTTGGGCAATATTTAGGGATAAAATTGCTGGTTCATATGACATACATAGTTTCAACTTTAATAAGCACTGCCAAATACTTTTCCAATTTTCATTGTACCAATTTTCACTCTTAACAGCAGAATCTGAAAGTTCTTATAACTCTACATCCTTGTTAACACTTGGTACTGTTATTTTTTAAAATTTTAGCCATTTTGGTGGGTGAGTATCTCATAATTTTAATTGCAATTCTACCTCCAGTTTATTTGCTAATTGGAAAGAGAGAAATGCATCTTACGATGGAGAGAATTAGCTGTCTCTACTTTAACTCAGTGATCAAATGTAGCATCATTAAGTGAGAAAAAGAGACATTATGCACTTTAAGATAAGATGGAACATAAAGAAGCCAGCGCATACATTATTCTTACCCAAAATGTTTAAGGAAGCTAAGCAATAATAAATCTAACTTTCAATTTTTAGAAAATATAAGAGAACAAAGGAACAAAGCAGACAATGACAAAAAGAAATAGGCAAATCTAGAATATAGAAAAAGTGGCCGCATTCATCCAAAAAGTCACTGTCATGGGGAAAAGTGGGAAGGAAGAGCTAAGATATAAACAAAAAAGAAACACACCAAATGCAATTAGAATTTCTGACAGAATTTTGGTTGCCAAAAACTATCTGTAGATAATAATTGTAGTATGAAAAAATTTGAATATGGACTTGCTATGAGATTAGGCTATGGTATTAAAGATTATTAGTTTTGTTAAATATGATAATGAGATAGTATATATAGGAGAATTAGTCATTTTTAGAGATCCATGCTAAGTATGAATAAAATGTCCTACCTGCAACATTCTTTGCAATGTTTCAGAAAAAATTATAAATGAAGCAAATATGGCAAAATGTTAATTATTAAATCTAGGTAGTAGGTATATGGTTTTTTATTCTATTTTTATTTCTACTTTTCAGTATGTGTTTTTTTCATAATAAAACATTTAAGAAAGAAAGAAAAAGGGCTTTTAAAAACTCAGATACTATGAAAGATCCTAGATATTAACACTATTCCTCATGATAGTATGTTAATAAACAAAAGCCCACTCCTCTGCTCAGGGCCTCTTCACTTGTTGTGTTCTCTATCTAGAATCCTCTCTCCCCATATAGCCACATGCTCATTCTTTTGCTTATTGTCGCTTATCAGTGAGATCTTCTATCACTACTCTCTAACCTTAACAGGTTTTTCTTTTCCCACTGCCATCTGACATTCTTGGTATACTTGTTTTGTATTTGTCTCCTGCAACTAGCATAGTAGCTCCATAAGGGCAAAACCTTGGTTTGGCTCACTGCTATATCCTCAAAGCCTATAACTGTGCCTGGAACAAAGCAGGTACATAATAGACACTTATTGAATGAATAAATGAATATTGGTTAATATTTATAGAGCACCTATAATGTGGTGGGCCCTGTACAATGTAAGCACTTTAAATTATTTCTTTTACTATACTGACCAACAACTCTTTAAAGTAAATATTATTATCTTCACTTTACAATGGGAAAAAAATCAAGAGCTATAAAGCAGAATTTGAACCAGGTAATAAGATTCTATAGCATAAACTCTTAACATTATATTGCTAATCACTGCCATAGGACACGAATATGAATATGGACTTGCTATGAGATTAGGCTATGGTAAGTAAGTAATACATTACTAACAGAAGTATTTTATAATTCTTACTATATAAGGTTTGTGATATGCTAATATAAATATGCAATACTATCTGCGCAACCAGTTCTAGTACTTTAAGGGAGCCTCAAACCCTATGTCTGGAGAGGTACAAGAGAAGAAGAGAGAAAGGGTGAATATAAAATCCCAGGATCAATATTATTGCTCTGACGAATAAGTAAGAAAAGATTTGCACTGAATTCGATAAAGAAAAGCCTACCCTATCCTTAACAGAAAACATCTTTGTAGAGACAGCTAAAATATAACCTATCTTACCTTACTCTAGACAAAATTAGTTATATTTCGACAACTGAGACATCAAAACTAGGAAACCAGCATTAACTTTAATTCTTCTATAAACCTAATTCCCAATAACAAATATTATAATTTTTCATTTAAGGACCTTATCTACTAGCAAAAAAGGAAAAAAAAAAAAAAAAAACCTTCGGAAAGTATTCTTTCAATTACCTGGCCAAAAAGCAGAGCACGCTAGCTCTATACTATACATATCTGAAAATACTACAGTTTTCAAAGTATTTTCCTATTTGGTCTTCAAATTTTCTTGTAAGTTGTACGACTATTTCACAAATGAGAAAGCTGAGTCTGGAGATGTTAATTTATTTATCTGGTCCCAGAACCAGAGGTACAGTATCCAAGTCTTCTCTTAACCCCGTATTCCTGCCATACACTCAGGCAATAGAATTTAAGTTTAAACTGGTAGTTTGTAAACATATCAATCAATTTTTTAGCATATGTATATATTTAGAAGATGTTCAGAATTTAAGTGTTCTTAATAATTAGAAAAATTAAGAACTATTTAAAGAAAATAGTGACATTAATAGAAATTTACAAAGCAAATAGAAATGGCCAAGAAACCTTCAAAAGTTCAACCTCACTAGTAATCAAAGACATGTAAATTAAAAACAAGAACATTTTGTCTATAGAAAAGATTTTTTAAAAAAAGATTAGTACTCAGTATAGGCAAAGACGTATGAGAAACAAGGAATTCCAAACCCTTGCAGTAAAAGTGTAACCTTTCTGGAAGGCAGGCAATTTGATGATTTATTTTAAAAGTCTTCAAAATTCCCGTTGTCTGACAAATTTCACTTTCAAAAATTCAGCCAAAAGAATCAGTGATGTTCAAAACAGTAAACAAAGGCAAGCATCAAAGCACAATAAAAAGTAACTGAATATAATTTTAGGTAAAAAGATATATAATATAGCATGATCCTAATTTTCATAATATACATATATTTATGAATATGGAAAAAAGAAAGACTAACAAATGGGAAAAAAAGCACATACCAAAACATGAATAGCAATTATCTTTGCATAGTGGCAATTTACAGAATTTTTCTAATAAGCATGTATTACTATAGGACCACATGTATTTTCCTTAAATAAGCAGACATCACAGACCAATACACAAAACGACTAACCTCTTCTCGTTTGAAGACCACATTAGCCTGCTGAGGAATGTCCACATCCAAAGAGTCCCTTTTTCAAAATGGAAACAAATGTATTATGTTGCTAATTTTAATAACAGTCATCCAGGATGTCAATCTAAAATAGAACTATAAGTTCATATAATAAAAAAGTTTTATGAAAAAAATTTACAATTTAGTGAGTCAAAAATTTTACACATAAATGCAGACCAGATTTTCTACTCTCTATCTTAATTACAATTTCATTTAGCAAAGCTCAAAGGCCTAAATTCTAATCAAGCTAATAATTAATGTACAGACTTTAGCTCAGCAACTTGTTCTAATATTAGAATCTACTAAAGAGCTGAGTTTATTTGCAAGTGAATAGACTACCATATTTAAAAATGAGAAAAATATTAGTGTTTGCTAAACATAGTGAATATTTCATGTTTATGATACCTTAACAAGAGTAGAACTCCTGCTTTTCCAAGAAGACGCCAAGCAACCCATTCTGCAGTTCTTCTATCAGCTTCATATGTAGCATGTCGACTAACGATAAAAACCAGTGGTAATCCGAGTTGGAGATGAATAGTTGAAACCTGTTGAGGATCTTCAGCAACTTCAGTCTTCATTGAAAAAAGAAAAAAATGTCTTTACTGTGTGATAATAATGTTTCAACATTCGGATTTAAACTCTGCTAATTCTTATTAATAAAGTCATGAGTTAAAAAACAAGTATGTGAAATAAGTCCAACATTAACAGAAATGGTCTCATAATTTCTGCTTAATGCTCCCAATGTGCCTATACAGATAAAGCATTATAAAACTAACACATTTTATAAGAAATTAAACATAAAATTATAACCATAAGGAATAAGCATGTTATAAAGAAAAATAAATAAAACAGTGTGGTATTGATAAATGAGATAGATATTTCAAATGAAATAGAACAGAGAACTAAGGAATACATTCTTTCATATAAGGATTTAACACACAATGACACATTACAGAACAATGAGGAATCTGAGTTAAGATGCAGTTTGAATACACACATCTAACTTCACTTTCTCCACATATTCCAGGAAAACTATAGCAGTAAAATTTTTTAAAAGAGATAAACATACATCTGTGAAGAAACGAAAAAAGGCAGCAAAATTTTGGAGGCTGGAGAACAAAATAACTGACTCTACAAAGCAAAACTCTAAGCCATGAGAGGGAAAGCTAAGAAACGATTTAATTATAACGGCAGAATCCTAAAATTGCTCAGGAATTGTCAGTGCCTGGTATCTCTGGAACTGGGAGAGAAATAATCTAAAGGCTTTGGAGAAGCAGTTTGATCTCTAGATACCCAACTCCATTCGCAGAGGCAACTGCCCCTCTCCCATACCAGGAGAAATCTGGGGGGCACTTCGAGAGCAGCTGAGAGTGTGAATATACCAAAAGCAGGGAGATTAAGTAGCCCAATGGTGAGACACTTCCCAGCGTCCTCCCCACTCAGTTTCCAGAATGCTAACAGCCAGAATCCTGTCCTCCAGCAGACGACTGGAAGGTCCTATTCTGGGCATCTTGAGTCACCCTGAGGAATATTGAGTCAGTCCACTATTCTATGCATCCTGGACTGCCAAGCCTTTCTAGGCAGACACCAAGGTTTAGATAATCAGCTTGTTCTCCAACAGGGTATTGATCTTCAAGTTTGCCTTTCACACTTTTCTTGGCGCTGTGCTACTGGCCATTCCTACCTATCTCAGTGTCTACCCCATGCTTCTGGAACCTCTTCCTGAAACCTATATCCCAGTTCCATAGCTGTCTTAGAAAAAAAGAGTTCTAACAAATAAGATGCTGAGGCACTGATATGCTTATGCATCATTTTGTGTGAGTGTTGAAGCAAACTGCACTTCAGGAGGGAATTTGATTGTCAAATCTCCTTTTTGGGTAAACACTGCCATTGCATAATTCAAGGAAGCACCATTCCCATTGTTGTTTATAAAATGTTTCAGGGGCTGCCATTCACAAAAATGACAATATAAATGGTGCCCTTGATTTTTTGCTAGCCACACTTAATTAAATCCAAAGTCATTATGAAGTCCCAAAAGTTCTCATTTTTTAATTTCAAAATATTACATAATTTCTGATAAGTAAAGCAAAGTATTATCTAATAATTAATAAATAAATAAATAAATACTTTTAAAAAGCAGCAAAAGAAAATTCATGACCAGAAGTTTTAAGAAAGGTGTACAACTTCAAGCCAGAATGTTAGAGCCAAAGAGAAAAACAGAAGGTTTTTAGTAAAGCTTGGGATGAGTCCTAATCCTGCCCCCAAAGGCAAAAACAGTACTGGTAAGTAGACAAAATCCTGAAAATTCTTAATAATATCTCAATATTGGAAGAAAAGGAAATGAGGCTGGAAAGAAATGGTAAAGAACTGTCCAGTGAATTGTTATCTCTCTCTCAGGGCTCTATGATGAAATGAGAGATCAAAACAAATTCATAGGGTATTCTCCCTGTGGGAATAAGATAAATGCCTTTCTTCCATCTGAAAGGAAAGGAAAAAGACAAAAATACTGCCTTTTTAAAAATTGTTTGAAGCCCAAATCAAAACAAACAAAAACTGACTCAAAGAATTTAGGAATAAAGCCAGTAGAATTGGGGCTGGTGAGCGCTAAATCTATTTAAATGTAGAAGCAAGACTTAAAAAAAAAAGTTGGAATTATGGTTACAGAACACAATATAAACATTGTAAACCTCAACAATATAAAAATAACACATTCTTCATAGCAAGGGTTAAATCAATACCATCTAAAATGGAAACATGTAGTTTTTTAAAAATAATGATTTTAGTTTCTTAATGTTTTCAAAATCATTTTTAACACTTAAGACAATATTTCCTAAGAGCCCTCTAATGAAATGCTTTATCAAAAGTTCCATAACCCCTCTAATTTCACATCAGTTTTTTTCCTTCTATTAAATAAGATTAAATATAATGCTTCTTACTATAAAGTATCACATGCAATATGATATGTCCATTAATCTATCCATCCCTCTATTTGTATCTTTATGGGTGCAGAGATGACTGGCTCATGTTAACAGACAGTTCATTTCTAAGTGATGGAATTAGGTAGCTTGAAAATATTTTTTCTTCATACTTTGCTGCACTGGTTTAATTTATAATACGCATGTACTATTTTTATTTAAAAAAGATGTACCGAATGAAAAGGCCTACACATGCGCAGGACAACTCTTCAGACTTTCAGAAAGAAAAGTGTGCTGATCACCATCACCTATGAGTCTATAAAATTCTTCTGGGCTCATACTAAGGAAAATGGAGCACCAGAAATGCTATAGTTCCAATATTTACCAACTTCTAAAATAGTGATGAAAATATTCACAGAAGACATCTTTTCTTGACCGTGATGTGGTCTCTGTAATCTTACAGTGACCACAGTTCATTATACTACCACAGAATACTTCCACTACACAAGACTATACTTGAGTTTCAATATAATAATGGCACTTCAAGACATTAAAGTATTATTTTATGAAGTCTACCTTCCATTCTACCTTGAATAAGTAACTACTCCTAAATCCTTCTAAAGACATATGTCCAAGGAAAGGGGAAAACATCTAGCTCATCTAAGTAACATACATATCTGTGAATCAAAACTTAATAAATTTAATGTATGAGTTATCTAATATATTAAAATAAGACACATACCAGCAGCGGTGCTTCCACTGACTTAATAAATCGATAAATGTTCAATGTAGTCAAAGGCTGTCCCATTAGTGTTCTTCTACATTGCTGGGTCAAGTCCAACACTGGTTTACAATGAAAAAAGTAGAGATGTGCATATTCTATATCCTCCCTGCTGTAAATTAAAAATTAGAGACAGATCCACTTGAAGTCCAGTGTGTGATTCTTCCACCATCCAAAAAGACAAAACAATAAATCTCTGTGTTTCAAATTGCTGTTTTAGTAAAAGCCTGGAAGAGTATAACATTAAAAGAAAATGGGCTAGGCAAAAAAAGAAGATATAAAATATTAATGAAAATTAACCTTAATATTTTTAACAAACCAAGTGAGTTGTATAAGCAATTTTTCCCCTGGATTCCTTCATATGGTAGCTTCTAAATCAGGTTATAGGCAGGTGTACATAATTTTTTAAAAAATAAAAGGCTGTCACCTTGAGGACAATAAGATTATCTTCAAATACGGTTTTTCTAGAGCTATGCTAAATAAGGCTTTGTAACACAAATCTTCTACGTTTAATTTAAACCCAAATCTGTTTTGAATAAACTTCAGCCAAAACATGCCTTAAGATAGAAACCATGTGACACTTTGTGGGAGTTTGTGAGTTTGTATCTGAAATATTACAAAACTCAGTAAATATGGCTTATAATTTCAGTTTTGGCATTCCCTTCAACATGAGAATTCAAAGATAAACTTATAGTGAGTAAGATTTACCAAAATTAAAATAGCATTTAAAAAAAAAATCTCCAGATGGCATTAGTAGGATTTGGCAAAATACTGCAATTTTTTATTTTTAAAATGGTATTTTAATTCTTGACACATGTTTAAACTGAGCTCCAAGGTTCACCAATTTCAAATTTAATTATAAATTAATGTCTAATAGAGTCAATGATTAAATAAATCATCAAAGATTTACTTAATATCTACTGTGTGTGTTAGGCCCTGTGCTAAAATACAAAAGACTAAGATGAATAAGATAATTCAAATACATGAGGAGCTTAAACTAGAGGAGATATATTTAGTGAAACATTTAAAATGTAGTTTATAAGTGCTATAATATACAAAGTGCTATGAGAAACAAATATTTCATTCTGCCTCAAGTTGAGAGGAGAAGGAAAGAAAGGGTTCAGGAAGATCACCATGGAGGTTAAAAATAGTAAGGGAGAGAAAGACTTCTCCAAGAAGATAGGACAAACGGGTATTTCAGACAAAAGAAATAATATAGCCAAGGCAGAAAGTACAAAACTCTTTGAGAGGAACCCTAAGTAGTCACATATTACTGAAAGGAAAGTGTTGAGAGCAGAAGGACCCAGCTGCGGTTGAAACTCATACCATAACCTCTGAAATAATAAAATAATGTTGTAGAGTTAATCAGGAATCATTTGATTATAGATAACAGAAACCAAAACGAGGGATTGGGGGAAAATACTTACTGGAAGTTTAGAAGAGTATCTCACAGACTACAAATAAAATTCAAGTAATTGGATCAGAAAGTAAATGTAGAGATCTGAACAGCAAGAGTTCAGAGAACATTTCGCCATTAACACTTTTCAGCTCCCAATTCAATGTAAAGACAACTCCTTCTGCTTTACTTCTACATGGGCAAAACATTCCTGTGAGCAAGAGAGCCACGACACTGTATAATAGTTTTTCTATGCCCAATTTTAAGTTCTTGGGAGAGGGGATATCATTTGCTCAGGTAAGCCAATGTCCCTAGGTCAGGTGGCTGCTCCTGATTTAACTGACTGTGATGAGGGTAACACCCTTCTTCGCCTACACACGGATTCTTTAAGAAGGAAATTTGGGGAGGTTGCAGAAAGTACTAGTGCCTCCATGACATGCTACTTCTTTTACTACATCCTTCTTAACTGACATATAGGTACAATATACATCCTTCTTAACTGACATATAGGTTCGAACATACTTAGGCCAAACATTATATAGCAATTAATATACTAGTTTCATCCAATGTTATAGCCCCAGCAACTGGAATAGTGAGTGCCTAGCACACAGAAGGCATTCAGTAAATACTTATTAAATTAAAGAAAGAACACATGAACGAAAAAAAAATACATTCACCTCTCCCTTATTAGGAGACAACCCAAAGTTATAGCCAACTACTTCATGCAGAAGTAATGTCATGGACTACTATATTTTGAATCCAGTCTTTCCTTGTCACATCAGGTTCCGATATGAACCCTCACCATGTTATCCATGAATAAATGAGAATTCAAAAATCTCTAATACATCATAAACTCAAAAGTATATGAAAAATGGAATAACTGTACACACTTTTTAATGCCCATTTTAAAAATGGAGAAAAGAAAAAAGTCTTCCAGAACAATCCTGTTTGGTCACAGGTAAAAAAATACACACACACAGTATATCTTGCTGAACAGGATCTCTGCCAATAAATAAGCATCCCTTGTGTTTTAAGAATGTCACTGTTATTTGCAATTATTCATTACCTGAAAAATAAAGTATTAAACAACTAACCTTCAAAGAGACTGTGGGGTCCCCAATAAATCACCATGGGATGGAGAATAACAAGGCCTCCCTGATTCCAAGATGGGAAATTGGCAGTTGGGAGTAGCAAAGTAGTGGCTAAATGCGTGCTTATTTTATCTTCAGACTCAGTGACAACTTCTAGCTTACAATTTTAGACTTGGTAAATCTTTATAGTACTGTCAGCATAACTCTCAAATCGTTAAAAACATTAAAATTCTCGTATGAATAGCAAACATGCATCAAAGTTTTATTTAACTCATTAATGAGGGAACCAGCAAAAAGACAGTTCAATAAAAAGAGATTAATGGAAAAGGAATGCTGGTTGTCATATAGAGCAATGAAAACATAACTTCTCTTTACAGGAACTTTATTTTCTGCCTACCCATTCCCCCCGCCCTAAAAAAAATCATTGCACTTTATCAGTTTTCTATGCACTAACCTCCAAATTTACAGAGTTGTAAAATGTCTGGTATTTAATTAATTGTGTATGGTATATCAAATAGTCATTTTCTGAGAGGTTGGCAAGAGGACTCATTAAAATCTCTTGCACAGTATTAAAAGGTCACACGATCACCATTTTGCCTTGCTTTGGGTTAAAGTTCCTGAAGAACATTTTAAAGCCAAACTTAAAGTCTTTAAAATGCACTAGCTATTCATTGGGGGTCCAGTCTATAAGACAAAAGTAAAGAAAAACTTTAACCCTCGGTTGCCTAGACAACAGTCAAAAGAAGGCCTCTATCTAAAACTGTAAGCTAGAAGTAAACAAAAAAAGAAACATCTAAAACATTCTGTTCAAAAACTGTACCTACATATATTTAAGATTATGATGAAAAAGTAACTTACAGAACTCTTAGAATTTCTAGAGCTTAAGTATGAAGGCTGTTATTTTATCACCTATCTCATCACTGTGGGAGATCTATTCCTAAAATACACTTGGCCACTCATAGGATCACATCTGTGGCTTATCCATATTGTCTTCATTCCTCTTAGTCTAATATCAATTCTGCATATTTAAATTCATTTTCAGACTGCAGTACAGATGACAGTAATGAAGGGGATTTCAGGTTTCATTTATATGTTCACATCTGCTTATGATTTCTCTTAGACAAGTCCATGCTGTGAGAGTATAATGGAAATGTTGAATAAGTAATGTGAAGTAAGTGAACTTAAAATTGCTGACATATGCCTCTTATACATACCCGATACTTCTCAAAAGGGCAATTTCTGTGGTTAAGACAAATTGGTATGTGGTCCCATACACGAAAGCAGCTTCCATGATAGCCCTGTGCTCTGAAGAAGAGATAAGGGAGTTGGGAAAGAAGAGTTAGTTTGTGTGACTCTACATAAACTTCTATTCCGAATACTCTCCTACATCTTTTTATGCTTTATTGTATTTAAAGAAAAATCCTTTGTAGGGATCCCAGTTGTGAAAATGCAGGCAGTTAAAGAAGTTATGAAAAGTCTATTCAAGGTAAGAGAAGAATTAAGAGGGAGTAGAAAATTAGTTTTATCTAAGAATATAACATGAAAAATTTGTGATAGTTTCTTCCTAGTGATAGAGAAGAAAATATGAAGCCACTATACAACTGTCATATGTTATATTTTATATATGTATATGTCTCGTATTCTTTCTGGCTTAGTTACTTTTTAATCAAACTTATTCTTAAATATAGTTTAAAGAGACAAATCATTCTACAATAAAAAAAACAATAGTTCTTCTGCCCCATATCCAATTTCAAGGGAAAACTTTCAACTCTCACCGTTTCTTTGGGTAACTACCTCCAAGTCTTTAAATGACAGTCTTATACTCATTTCCTAAGTTTTTTAAGTGTTAGTATTACCTACTGACCTTCCACTTTGGAAGACGATAAATTGGCTCTCTCTTCCAAAACCCCACTCCACAAATGTACACATTTCTATTCCCTCAACTTTCCCAATATAGTTCTAATTTTTATTAGATCCATAGTCAGTATTTACATCATTATGGCTCAGTAAATACTATTTACAAATGAGCCATGCAGTATAAAATGAACACTTTTCCTTTTTCGAACTTTTTATTCACTATAGTCATACCTATCTATTTTTGTGTAGATTTCTTCCTAATTTATTCCTAAACTCTTGCAGTTGTCTAACTCTCTTAATACTTCAAATATATCAGGTATACTCTTGATTCTCTCTTCTTGGAGACATTTCTGCAGAAATGTCCCACGCAGACTATTGCTACTTAACATGCTACACAACTTTCATCCTAAGAACTCACTTCATCACCCAAGGGATCTCTAATTCTCTCATGTATTTGATCCTTTGGCCTGTTACCCATATGTATATATACACACACACACACACACACACACACACACACACACACACATATACACATATATATGTATATATATATGTGTGTGTGTGTGTGTATATATATATATATATATTTTACAATTCAACCTTAAGGTATATTTATATTGTATTGTGTGTTCAATGCTATAGTTAGATTTCTGTCACTACATATTTGACTCCTTTTACCCCATCTACTTCTCCCCTCCCCCCCACCCTCTTATAACCACTAGTCTATTGTCCATGAGTCTCTGTTTGTCCTATTTGTTGCTTTCAGGTTTATATCCCACATATAAATGATACTTTCAGGGATCATTTCTATAGTTGATATGCATATTTTTTTTATTGATTTGCTCCCTTGCTCCCATTCTCTAGCACCTTCCTATGATAGGATTTATGAAATACACATTTTTGCAACCTCCCACTTCTAGAAGTGTCTTAATTCTACTTTCATAACTAGCTGTAGTTGTCTTGAGTATTGAATTCAAGGTTCAAGTCATTTCTCCTGAGAATTTTGGAAGCATTGCTCATTTTCTTCAGTTTCCAGGGCTGCAATGAAGAAGTCCAATACCATTCTGATTCTTGATCCTTTAACTGCAAACAAACTTTTTCCTTCTGGAAGATTTTAGAATAGTATTTGTTTCCAATATTCTGAAATTTCAAAACGAGATGCTTTGGTGTGGCTCTATAGTCATTTGCGATGCTGGGACACAATGAACCCTTTCAATCTGGAAGCCCAAATTCTTCAGTTCTGGAAAATTTTCTGAAAGTGCTTCTTTGAAGATTCTCTCTTTTTCATATTTTATTTTCCCTTTTATCCTCACTGTCATTTCCTGGCAGTTATCTTCCCCTTAACCTACCCACTTAACCTACCGCTTATGTTACGTATTATCAGATTACTTCACTCACCACACTGCCTTGTTGGAGTCCCCTACCATCCCAGCCAAGGTCACTCCCTCTCATTACACAAAGATTTTAGCTTTCGTTACACTGTCACTTTCTCCAATACTACTCCTGTCATATATAATCCTTGGTGATTTTTATTATCCCCAGAGATGATTCTTTCAAAACCTTAGGCTCTCAGTCCTTGGCCTTCTCTATGGATGCCAATGACTCTATTCAACTCTATCTTAACCACTCACTGCTATGATCTCATTGTAGGCCTTGTAAGTACCAACTACTGCTGACTCTTCTATAATTGAAATGTCCAGCATCATTCCACCCAAATAGACACATACACACCCCTATCTGACTAGGTCACTCTGCCTAGTATATAACTCTAACTTTCCAGGACCTATAATCTTCTTATTTTTCACTGTCAATCACCCCTCTCAGGTCCCCTTTTTCCTCTTAATCCAGCTTAAATTCCATGGTCAATTTTTATTATCATTCCCCTGGCCATTTGGCTAAAACACAAGCCAGGTTAAATCAAATTCTACCTATTCTGTACTCATACCCACAAAAGTAAATATGGCTAAAGGGGAAAAAAAAACAAACCCTGCTAGCATGCTAATGGTCTCACTTTACATTACTGACAACAACTATTATTGCTGCCTAGCGACCATTCTTTATTTCCAGGGCTCCTAAACAACTATTTTTTCTACCCTCTCCTCAAACTAACTACCTGATAACTTTATTTCTATTTAATTAAGAAAATATAACCAGTTAAAAACAAAACAAAACCAAAACAATTTCCACAAGTTCCCAGCACTGTATCTACCTACTTACCTAAATTAATGCCCATATTCTGTCTTCTCTCCTATTACCATATATGAACTTGCTGTGCTCCCAGAAAAGAACCACCCCCTCTTCTCTAACTCAAAGATGTTGTTGCAGTAATTTTCCCTTCTTTTTTCATACATGATGCATTTTCCTATTTCTACTGGATCATTCTCATCAACATACAAATATGCTTCTTAAAAAATTCTTCACCCATTTTTCTTTCCCTTAGTAGCAAAACTTCTCAAATGAATCTCTATATTCAGTCTTCGACTTTCTGTATATTCTCTTTTATAACCTTATCAGGCACTTACCCCTACCACTCTAGAAACTGCGTTTGTCAACTTCACCAATAACTTCCACATTGCTAGCACAGCGACCACTTGGCAGTTCTTATCTTAATCAGCTTTTCAGCAACATTTGACACAATTGTTCCTATCTCTTCCTTAAAACCCTGTCCTCACTTTGCTTGCAGGACACCCTACCACATAGGCTTTATTTTCTGTCACCTTGACCAATTCCTCTCTATCTCGCTGATCCAAAAATGTTCAAGTACGAGTTCAGTCTTCTTCCCAATTAGTCTCACTCCTTCATATCTCTCTGGTCTCCTAGTTTTATCTCACAAATTTATATCCCTAGTCTGTAGTCCTACCATAAAATGAAGATTGGTAATATCCAACTACCTTACTGATAACTCTACTTGGATATCTAGTGGATATTTGGCAAGTTCTATGTCCAAAAGTGAATTCCAGAGCTTCCTCTCCAAACTGTTTGTTTCTAGTCTTCCTTATCTTAGTTATAAACATGTTCACCTTTCAAGTAGCTCAGGCCAAAACTCCAGACTCACCCTTGTTTCTATTTTTCTTTCACTGCACATCCAATATACCAGCAAATTCAGTAAGTCCTACATCCAAAGTACTGCTAAATTTTTTTAAAGTTATTGACATCTCTATCACTAACACACTGGTCCAAGCCACTTACCATCATCTCTTGCCTGCATTATTGCAACAACTTCCTAATTTTCTCCCTTATTTTACCATTGCTCATTCCAGTTTATTCCAAACATAGAAGTCAGATTGATCCTATTAATATAAGTCAGGGGGTTCTGGTTCATATGGCAGTGTAAGCCCTCTATCGCTCATCCCTCTCATATTGATTATAATTATACAATAATACAATAACCTGGACAAAATATAATAATCTAAGGTTCCTGAAAAGGAAACAAAAACAGGCTGATTGAGGAATATTATTTCACAAGTGTATTAAGTTAGTGGCATGTTATGTAGCCATTAAGGTTTATGTTTATAAAAACTGATATTTCCAATAAGTAATGTTCTTTCATAGAGCATATATAATTTTAAAAATGTCTTTAATGTTTTATACTCACATGGCCAAGTCATAACTATTAACAAATAAAAGCACAACTATAATTTGTTCATAAAATGTTTATAGACTTCATGACAAAATTAGATATTAATGCTCAAGGTGAGGTTGTCAAAATCAATGTTTTAAAAATTTTTAAAATGTCAAAACAGAAAATAGCAAAATATTTAAAAAGAAAGCCACTAAGTCAACAACATTTACTAAATACTATAAACTACTATACCATGTACCACGAAGACTATAAAGAAATAAAAAGTTACAGTGAACTTGCAAAGCACCTACTGTATGCCAGAAACCATTTTAATTATTCAAAGTCATTTGGTCCTCCCAATAACACTAAAAGGTGATTTCACCATGTTAGTGACTAGGAAATAGGTTAAGTAAGTTGTCCAAAGTCACACTATAAGTAATTAATGGAGCAGGAAGTCTACTCTAGGCAGTCTGGCTCCAGAGTTTTTGTTCAACGACTATGCTATGCTGCCCATTTAAAAAGAGAAAACATAATAGTAAAGACACTGTAAATTTATTTTAAAATATTAAGATTGTGGTCAAAATCACTATTTTTTGATATAATCACATAAGTATAAATGCACAGCAAAATTAAAGTAAAAGTTAATAAATACCTGGTGTTCCAATAGCTCTTACATATGAAAATGCAATGTTTGCTTTTCCTTTCAGAGCATTTTCTATATTCTGAAGGTCTTCCAGAGTGGTAATATATTTTACTTCATTGAAAAGAAGAGCACTAAAATAAACAGATGTAATTAGTAGAAAAACCTGATATGAATTTAGTTATATTTATTGAGTAAATAAAAGAACCTAATCAAAAAAAAGTTAGTAAAAACCTAAGCATTTTAACACTAAATTAAAATCACTCCTAAATCATTAACCTGTCCCTAAGAACATCAAGTAGGGACAGTTGTAAAAAATGATGCTCATTCTCCATCACGACCACCTCTCAATGTATTTAAGCTGTATTCGCTAATATCCTATTCTGGCCAAATAATCCCTTACAGATCTCTCAGCTTGAACACATTTGAGCCCTTCACACATCTAAACTGCATGCCTCTTTCCATGGCCTGTAACGTAAGAAGGCCCTGTATAACCTAGACCTTGCCTACTTCTCCAGCCTCATTTTGTTCTACCATCCCTCATGTCTACCACTTTAGGCACACCTCAGGACCTCTGAGACACAATTCTCTTTGCTGAAAGCTATTCCCTCTGCTCCTTCTCATACATCTCATCTCAGAGAAGCCTTCCCTGTTGGCCCTACATAAGTAGGTCTATAGCATTTTCTGCTTTCATTTCACACTATTTGATCCCTTCATAGTACTTATCACAATTTATAAATACTTATATATTTGTTTACTTGTTTACTCCAGCCTCTCTCATTAAACTGTTATGTTTGTGAGGCAGGGACCTTGCATATTTTATCACTATATCTGTAATAACTAAGAACAGAGCCTAGTATATTATCAGGTGATCAATAAATATTTGTTGAATATATAAAAGGTAGAGTAGGAATTATTCCCATTCTTTGAAGAAATGCAAGTTCAAAACACTGAAAAGCTTAGTTACTCGGAAATACATTTACTGAATCAAGGAACCAGGAACAGAACACAAAACAGGCCTTCTTACTCCTAGTTCAGTGATCTTTCCACTTGACTGTAATTCTCCTAAATCATCTTTTCAATGTGTAAATCAGACTGATAGTATTTCTTCATTCGAAAGACTCTTCTTTATTAATTTTCTACTTCTACATAAATCCTCTAACAACTCATTTCACTTATCTGTGTGTGTATTTTTGTTAGACAAATTTTAAAGATTCTTGAAAGTTGTTCCAAGTCCACTTAAATAAGCCCAAGTCCATTTAAATATTTAAATAAGCCAAGGTTCACTCAACTATCTTCAACAAATTAGTCAATCACGATTTCTTCCTATGGAAAATATGGTACTTTCTGCTAATACTGCAGTTCTTAAACTATTTTGGTCTCAAGATACCTTTGAGTTCTTCAAAGAGCTTTTGTTTATCTAAGTTATATCTACCAATAGGTGCCAAAATAAAAATTAAAAAAGAAATTTAAAAGTATTAATTCTTTTAAACTCTACAGCGTCTTAATAAAAATGCTTTTTATTAAAAAAAAAAAAAAAAAAAAAACCTAAATTTTCCAAAACAAAAGAAAAATTTAGTGAAAAGAGTGGCATTGTTTTACATTTTTGCAAATCTTAATATTGGACTAAATAAAAAACAGCTGTATTCTTGTAACTGCTTCTGCATTCAATCTGTTATGACATCACATATCATATAACCTTTAGAAACTGCACTCCTGAGAGAATGACAGTGTAAAAGGCGAATAATGTCTTAGTATTATTATAAAAGTATTGTGATTTCATGGACAGCCTGAAACTACTGCCCTAAATTACACTGGCTTAAATATTGACTTACTACAAATTTCTTCAATCTTTTAAAAGAAATGTAAAACTTGATCTTTTACAATTCCCAGGGTTCGTTTTGTTTTTAAAAGAAATATTTACAAAGCAGTACTCACTATGTGCCAGATATTTCACGTTGTCATTTAAACCTTCAACAATATTCTTGCAATATTCTTTATTCAACACATACATTCGACAGTCTGAAGGATTAAGTAACCTGCTCCAGATCACATTGGTAGTCACTGGTAGACCTAAGATTCAAATCTAGGCCTTCTGACACTAAGGCCAGGACTTTTAAACTATATTACTGACTACTCTTGTAAATGGGAAAGCAGGTAGAAAGGAAGGCAACTAATTAAAGGCAAGAGTGACTTGGTGGCAGTGTGGGTAGCAGCTGCTTATACATTTTGGCTAACAAGTTCAGAATTACTGTTGAGTAACTTCAAAGCATTTTGGAGGTGCTATCTAGTAAACTTAGTTGGACTTCCATGTAAATGCTAGCCTTAGAAATTCCATCCACCCATTTACCTTTATTGCTCCAGCAGTTCTAATCTATGTGCTTCAAAAATCAAACACGGGAGACGAAATCTCCCTAACCTTTTTCTCAAATAAAGACTGGCAAATATAAATTAATAAAAGCCAACATTTGGGGGACATTACCACATGTCAGGCACAGCAGTTTATCAGTATTGGGACTGCCTAGCTCTGAGCTCCTCTCTTTTGCTTTGGGAATTCCCAGTTTCCTAAGTCTTTCTATTGGGCAGAGCTCACCTCATAAAAGAGCAGAGTGCTCTCAAAAATCTAATATTATGGTAAACTTACTTTCTCAAGTTCCCTGATGCAAGGCATAAGCAATATGACCCAAATTCACTTGCCTGACATTTTGGATCAGGAGCTAGTGATGTAAGTTACGAATCAAGAACAGTGCAGAATTCTTTCAAGAAGCAATAGCAGCAATAGTCAGCTTCAAAGGCAGCAATGAAAAAAGTGCTGATGACAGTCCCAGTTCAGGAGATACAAGCCGTGGCATGCAACTCTCAGCAGTAATGCAGCAGTACTCTCCAGACTAGTTCTTTGTCATGATCTTGACTGTAATTCAGTCATATAAACTGAGTTCAGTTCTCATCTTTTCTAGTGAACCTGAGATTTCCTATATCTGCTCCAAATCCTTTTCTGCTTAAGCCAGTCAGATCCAGATTCTGGGGTTCATAACTAAGAACTCTCAGCAATGTACTATGTTTTCTTTAATTTTCATGGCAACTATCTGAGATTGGTATGATCACTAACTCTATTTTACAGATAAGGTCATGGGGCTTTGAGAAGTTACCTTGCCTCATGTCCTAAAACTCCTTAAGCAGTCGTTACCCATGAGGTAATAATAAACCAAAACTAATGACATTCATAATCTAATGATCACTATGATTTTTCCCAATGGCTTCAAAACTTTAATGTTAACTTCCAGAATATGGACACATCTAGGAATCTCTAGGATCCATTCCGCAGGCCTGTGCTCCTTCACCCCAGTCACAAAGAGGAGCAATACTGACAGAAATGGGCTAAAGGAAAAGTCTGTCTTGGGATTTTCTTGCTCTAATGAAGCAGTAAAACGGCCTGGGGCTGCTCTGACCTGAGAGTTCTTCCACCCCAGAAAGGCCCTCCTTTTCCTTGGCATGCTCTTCCTGAGACTCTCCTATCACAACTATTAGATACATAACATATATGGTAAGAACTGAGTAGGTATCAGAAAAAAAAAGAAACTGAACGGTCTATGTGTCCCTACCCATAGAGTATAGCAAGCTGCTCAGCCTTTTTTCAGAAAATAAAAGACCATTTTTATATTATATTTCTGTCATTATTCGAATTCTAAAAAAAAAAACAATAAAAAGAAAATGTTACTTTCTATTTTGCCATAGCAAAATCCCTAAGACAAAATAAATAAATAAATAAATAAAAGGAAATAGGGGAAGAGAGGAAACAGAGAGCAACAAATTTTATCTAAATTAATTATATTGTGACTGGCCACATTCATGCATAAAATGAAATATCCCAAAGTGTTTTATTAAGCATTTTCTAAATTAATACAGTTTTTTTTAAAAATGAGCAGGTAGAAATCACTTCCGAAATGTGAATTAAGAGTACAAGTAATAACAAAGTTCATAAACATCTTTGTCTTTCTGTCATACATCATATATTCTCCTACTAGCTTGCTTCTTATAAAATTCTTATCACCAGAAACAATCTTATGGACTTATAACACAAGATTTCTGCTTCTCCCATTTTTAACACAAAAGAGTGAAGCTTCCAAATTCACTCCACCAATTCAGTACTTTTTGAGCACCTAACATATGTCATGCATGGTGCTATGCACTGGTAGTAGGGCTTTGTATAAAAGGGCAGTTTGAAGATATAACCATTACCACCAATTAACATTGAACATGTCTTGCATTCAAATGCAAGACAAGTGATTTTTTATTACAATTTCCAGTAAAAAATATATCACTATCAAAAAGGAACCCCTTTTTGATACTGTGCAGGAACAAACCTTATACAGATAAAAGAATGAACAATAGCTCAAAATCTATTAAGAAAGGACCAGTTTAGGAGTTTTAGAGGAAGATACCTCTAAGAGTAGCTTTCCCCAGAGGTTCTACAGTAATGTCTCCTAAAGACTAAATACCTAGGCTCAGCAATAATGTGTTAAAGAATAATATATTAGCGAAAATTATGATTGCTGAAAATAATTCCTATAATAGTTGAAGTTCGAATTATTAGTAGTAAGTTAATTTAAAGGGAAAAAACTTCAGTTTCTGACAATATTGTCACAAGGATATCACGTACCATTAACCAGAGTTAATGAGATTCCATTGTTTCTTAGGTACTGAATAATCTTTCCTTTTTTGCATCATTGGATGATTTTTAGGAGTCAACAATAACTAAAAGAAGAATGGTCATTCTTTGCAATTGCTGCCTCATGGCAAATATCACAAGCAACTGACACAGCACGAGCTCACATGGACTCACTTCTGTCATCACTGTGTGAACAGAACCATAGGTAGATATCTGAATATGGA